AAACTATTAAAGAGTTTTTGACTAGCTTTACAGTTGCAATGAGTCTATAATACAGTAAATTGGCAAATGCGCAAGTGAACGTGACTTTAATAGAGGGTGTGAGAGGGGGACAGACCATGTGTCAGAACTTCCTTACCTGGATTGAACATTAAACAAAGCCGAACACATAATTCGATGGATTCTTTGATAGAACATTAATGGATTATTATGAATTTGTACATTTTAAACTTTTTATACATTTTTACCAAAAATGCATTAATTAAACATTAACTTCTCGGAACTTCTTCACCGGGACTGAACATTAATATAAATATGTACATTTTAAACAGTCATTTACTTTAATGCATAAATACGGTAATGAAATTGATGAGCGGTACTCCTTTGTTCTCAGTTTATTTGGACTGCCTCCGTTGTCTAGTGGTAGAGCGTCCGCCCGGAGAGCGGAAGGTCCGGGGTTCGATCCCAGGCCGCGTCATACCAAAAGACGTTCAAAGATGGTACTTGTTGTTACCCTGTCTGGCGCTCGGCATAAAGGGGCTAAAACAAGGACTGGTCGACTCGGAGTCAGTATACTGTGTCTGAGTGGGGTATTCATGTTAAACCGCGGCATGGTATCTCAGTGGGCTTGCACTATAAATCCGCATCAGTCCGGACTAGTATAAGCAGCCAAACACACACCCACACACACACACACGTGCATGCACGTCGCTATATAAGTGCAAAAATCTTGGACACGACGTTAAACCCCATTTCACATCGTTTTATTTGCCTTGTACCTGGAGTGCCAAATCCCGTGTTAATGAACCGTGTCTGAGTCCTTACTGGTCCCGGGAACGCCAAGAGGATTTTCCCTCCTAAATGTCAAATTTGGCACTCCCGGGCCGACACCGGCTGTTCAAAGCGGCAATATACAATTGCAGGCAAGTGATTAACTGGATTAAGTAATGACACGTAATAACGTGATTAGGCTATATTCTTTGAAGTGGATATATTCTGTCTTTAAAATGCGACAAGAGTGAGGAAATTCAGTCGTAATGCTTATAACGAACTACGGTTATAAGGAACTAAAATTAGTGGTCCCTTTGAGTTCCTTTAACCGTAGTTTACTTGTAAACAGATTCGTCCTCTGCACCGTAATTGCAAACTGGACATATTCTTAGTGTTGTGGGGGGCACGGGTGGCCCAGTCGTCTAAGGCGCCGCGATTCGCTGTGCAGAGTTGCGTCCCTTGGGCACGTCAGAAACCTATGATTGTGGGTTCGAATCCCGGTTCGCCCCGATTATGTTTTTGTCAGCACCATGCCCGTGCTCGTGGTTTTCAACGAAGTGGTAAACGTCTGAGACCTGCATCACTTCGGGCTTTCCTCCCACATTAAGCTGACACGCCGTGATATCACTGGAATACTGTTAAAAGCGGCGTTAAACCCAACTCACTCACTCACTCACTCACTTAGTGTTGTGATGTGAAATGGAAATTAACGTATCGTTCAAGATCATTGCACGTACATGGCGACTTGCATGCACGTGTGTTTGTGTGTGTGGCTGCTTGTACTGGTCCGTACTCATGCCGATATCATAGTGCCAGCCCACAGTTTAACATGAATACCCCACTCAGACACTGTGTACTGACTCCGAGCCGAGACGTCCTTGTTTTAACCCCTTAATGCCGAGCGCCAGACAGGGTAACAATAAGTACCATCTTTTAACGTCTTCTGGTATGACGCGGCAGGTGATCGAGGCCCCGACCATCCGCACCCCGGGAAGACGCTCTCCCGCGAGATCACGGAGGCGGTCACATTTTCCTAGTGATCAATCCATAGACAAATATCTCCCTTCATTCCTTTTAAATTTTAAACGGCCCACTGGAACTCTTTAAAGAACGTTTCTAAATCTTCCTTCTGATAAGACTGAGAAGTAATTTCCCTGGTTCTAAGAGACTCTTAAATTCTTCATAAAGATACTAGTAAATTTCATTAAATCCATTTGTAAAAAAATATTTACAAATAAAACATTTTAGCTACGTTCCGGATCACTGTAGGTATAACGAAGGTTATGCCAGTGTTAAAACATAATGTGATGAGGTTTATCTAGAGCGAAAACAATCATGCGAAAAGTCACCTGTCTTGAAGGTCAGTCCAGATTCAGGACATGCATATCTACCGAACACCGATTGGGTGAGACAAGTCCAAATAAGTCATACACCTAAATACAGAGCAGTCGTGTCCAACACAGAAGGTCAAGTTCCAGCGTATTCATTTATGATAAATACACTGCCGGACAAAAAAAAGTATACACTTGAAAATTGGAATTGACCAAACAATTACAAACGTTATGAAAACGTTACTTGACTGAATCACAGTCACCGAAACATTGCAAACTTACGTGAGTGAGTGAGTGAGTATGGTTCTACGCCGTTTTGAGCAATATTCCAGCAATATCACGGCTTGGGACACCAGCAATGGGCTTCACACATTGTACCCATGTCGGGAATCGAACCTGGGTTTTCGGCGTGACGAGCGAACGCTTTAACCACTAGGCTACCGACCGCCCCTGCAAACTTAAGATCCAAAACATAACTATGATACCAGTATCAACATCGAACAACCATTTCTTGTTTGTTTCATTTTTAGCCACCATCAAACATTGGAGTATACATTTTTGCCCGCGAAATTGTTTCAACCGTCAAAACCAAGATTAATCATTTTGTGTCAGATGTCGTGACTGAGTTTTTCAGATGGGTTTGATTAGCCACGAATTTCATGTGATAAGCAAACAAGTGTAGTTGGCAAGCGTCTTGCTGACATGTGTAGACTGCTTGATCTACACACTGTAAATGGTACATGTGGGCATAATAAAGATATTGGACATCCATACATAGAACAATGGTTGTAGCGTCAAAAGTAGGTTATTGTATCGACCTCATTATTCGATCAAATAGTAACTTTCGAAATTACATCATACGCTGAATTAGAACACATAGCTCTCACAGTTACTTGCAGTTATCTGAAGGTGTTTTAGTAATGAAAGTTGGTAAATATCTGTAGAAGTGAGGTGAGGTGAGGTGAAATGGGGTTTAACGTCGCGTCCAAGATTATGAACTTGTCTATCGACGTGCTTGCAGGTGTGTGTGGCTGCCAATTTATAGTGCCAGCTCACTGAGATACCATGCCGCATTTTAACATGAATACACCACTCAGAGAAAGTATACGGACTCCGAGCCGACCAGTCCTTGTTTAAGCCCCTTAATGCCGAGCGCCAGACAGGGTAACAAGTACCATATTTCAACGTCTTTTGGTATGACGCGGACGGCGATCGAACCCCGAACCTTCCGCTCTCCGGGCGGATGCTCCACCACTAGACCACGGAGGCGGTCTGTACAAGTACATGTCTAATCATTCGCAAAGTTTCGGGACGGCACTTTCTAGGAGGTTCGCTATACCGATTTAAGAGAGATAAGATTCGAGGTCTTGTTAGACCTACCAAGTGGGGATTGGATACATGTTGTAAACACGATAAATTCCTGCAATCTGCCATTACTATTCTTGATTTCAGAACGGACTCAGGCCTGTTTCTTGACATTCGACATTGTCACGATTTCTAAACATTCCTGAATGCACTTACATTAATTTAAGGGCCTGATATTTTTTGCTGCTGCCAATTATGTGACCCAATGTGTTCCATTTGTTATTGTAAACCTAAAACTGCAATATAATTTATTCTTTATACATTGATCTTGTGAGGTCATTTACTCATTTCACAATTTAGTTTTGGACATAACGATTTCTGGGTTAACCAAGGCCGTAGTTAACTTTTTGACAGGGGGGGCAAATAAGATTATTCATTTCTTATTCAAGATAACTTTCACAAGGAAAAATGTTTTTTTCTAAAATATCCAAGACATAGCCACCAGTGTACGTAAGTCAAATATATACTGACCATAACATAATGACAAACATGGCCCAAAACCTTTTGAAATCTTCCACAATCACAACTGACCGGCCAAACTCGCTGTGCAGAGTTGCGTCCCTTAGGCGTGCCAGAAACCTATAAATCCTGGTTTGCCCTGATTATGTGTCTAGGTTTGTTATCACCGTACCCGTGCTTGTGGGTTTCATGAAAGTGGTGAGCACCTAAGACATTATCACATCAAGTGGAAAAGCTGTCATCTAGTGCAATAGTGTTGAAAGCAGCATTAAACCAAACTCACTCACTTACCCAAATAAATCAACTGCAAACACAAGCCACCTAATTTAAAACAATTTAATAAACTCTATGATACATTTTTTGATAAAAGTAAACATCAAACAAATAGTAAATGTTATGGCAAACAGTATTCTTCCAAATAATACAATTTGCACTCAGTAACAACCAACATACATTCATTGACAGCACTCAACACACAAACACCCAGGGTGTTACCATGGTTACAATGGTTAGGGTACTGTACAGAATTGCACGTGTTGTAGGTACAGATGACCATAACTTGAACTAGAAACATTCCTACACAGATCAACGACAGATGCCTGTATACAAACCAGCATGTACATATACAGATCTCTCTGTGTTCTTGTATTGCTGGTAACTGTATGTGTCAAGGAGTTTGCCCATCACTGACACACCTAAACATTATCACAGATTTACTTAACATTGATCCAGCTGCCAACTCACTGAAAATCTGCCTGCTCCAAAGGTTTATTAAATAATCACTTAGTAGTATCCCTATGGGTTTTCGGACGCTTAAGAAACATTTATAGTTTTCTCTCTAATCACATCCACAACTGTAAAATATCTTATTCACTTTTATAAAAGACACTTTTCCTCTTTAAAAAAGCCATCATCAGAGTATTTACAATTTTTGTGTGATGCTACACCCCGTCCAAAAAACATATGACATCTGAAAACCTATGATCCAACAATAAAAAAAAGTGGGTAAGTATGGTTTTACGCCGCTTTTAGCAATATTCCAGCAATATCACGGCGAGGGACACCAGCAATGGGCTTCACACATTGTACCCATGTCGAGAATTGAACCCGGGTCTTCGGCGTGACGAGCGAACGCTTTAACCACTAGGCTACCCGACCGCCCCCAATAATAAAAGAGCTGGTGAAATTAGTCACAAATTAATGTAGAGTAGACTCCCTCAATCTCGAATGCCATTCCCATCTCGAGGCAAACCTTTGGTCAAAAACGTCTTCTTGTATAAGTATCATTGACTGACTAAACTTGTACATATAATGCACATCTCAAACTTCAGCATTACTTTCACCCAATATCACGAACCTAGGATTTGGTCCCCAGGCACAAAAATATAGTACAATTATCATTTATATTTTAAACTTTAATTGAAATATTTTAAATGATTCACAAGCACATTTCTCAGCTCATCGATTCATTGTACCAACAATATTTACTGAAAGCACACTAATATCAAATATTGGCTTGCATGACTAGGTAACCTGTGGTCAAGCAGTAATGGTCGGTTATAACAATGATCACAATATATTCTGGCCTTATGAGTTGTAGCAACAATGTTTTCACAGTCAGTAATTGATGGGCGTGGGTTTAACAAAATGACGATAGTTAGAAAAGACAAGGATTATGTAAAGGTTGACTGAATCGCTTCAAGGAATGTAACATTTTTTTATTTTTTTTAAGATCTGTGCGAGGTTCACACAGCTGACACTCTGTCAAAGACTCTGGTGTTGGTGAATTTCATTCAGCGACTCTTCCATTTGTGAATTCCAGTTCTGATAAAGGTATGGCATCACATGACGTGTAAAATGGTGCTCAGTCATAGTTATGTACTTTGAAGAAGTATTCGTTACCAGCTGCTTACATGTTTTTTATCTCTATCTCTTATCACATGATTTGTTACATATTTCAGTGTGAAAGACTGAGTTTCCTGAAGTTGAGAAAATGTGGTATTTTCATTGAATATAACACTTGGACAGTACTATTGACACACAAGAGTTACCTCCCTGCAAATTGTCTCCCTTAATTGTAAATGTCTAGCCCTTACATAAACTGTTGACTTCCATTTCACCTTAGTTTCACATTGACAAGGACAAATAAGTACAGGTGGTCATTTATGGAGTTAATGTTGCTTCTCGCTATAAACTGTTTATAGGATATTCACTGTTTCTCGTGAAATATCATTTTTCTCTCAACTCGTGGTGGGGGAAAGGAGATATTTTCACTCAACACAAATAATATCCTCCATGTCTTGAATGAATAAATTACGCACACAGACATGATATCTCGAAACTGAAGTTTGCCTTGCACACCTGAATGTCCACCCTTGAAACTTGATGTGGGCTGTTCCAAGGGTTTGTTTGTTTGTTTGTTTGTTTAATGCCACACTCAGCAGTATTCCAGCTATATGACGGCGGTCTGTAAATATTCAGGTCTGGACCAGACAATCCAGCAATTAGGATACGATGACATGCATCAACCAAGTCAGTGAGCCTGACCACCCGATCCCGTTAGTCGCTTCTTACGACAAGCATAGTTGCCTTTTATGGCAGGCATGGGTTGCTGAAGACCTATTCTACCCCGGGGATCTTCATGGGAATGCTGTTCCACTCTGCCTTGCACACCTGAATGTCCACCCTTGAAGTCTATTCCAAGAGTCAGGACTCCATCTGACACACCTGAACGTCCATCTCGGCTTCCTTGTGGAGCCGGTCACACAGAACCCTCCGGCGCTCATCTTCCTTCATGTCAGACAGCTCATCCACCTCATGAGGGTGGAGCTGCAAGAGAAAGCATAGCTGTAACACCCCTGTTCTAAACACTGAATACTAACAAATTTCCTTCCAAAGATTCAGTAAGTGAACGCATATTGTTTTATGCCACAGTCAGCAATATTCCAGTTATATCACAACACCCTGTAAATAATCAAGTGTGGGCAAGGGAAGCAAGTTAGTGAGTGAGTGAGTTGGGTTTAACTCTGTTAACCACTTGGGTAAAACCCACGAGCAAGGACAAACCTAGGAACATAATCGGGGCAAACCAGGATTCGAACCGAAAATCTTCATTTCAATGCGAACTCGGAAACTTCCATATCCCTGCCATGATGACCACTTCTCAGGGTCCTCTTACTTGGACATCAGAAGCATATAAACTGATGGGCCATAATTAGAGAACACATAGCAGTCGAGCAGAAGAAAGTTTCAATGCTGAGTCAGCAGTTCTGAAAATATCTTGATTCCTCTATGGGTCAAACACTGAGTGTTCAGAACTATGGGGACCCTGGAGAGGTCTTCTGTGGTTCTGAGTCTAAGGACTCCCTAAACATGTAACATAAGAGATATGACAAGGACCCTTGGATTTCCTTGTTATATTCTGAACACTGTTGAACAAATGCATTGCTGAACCAATTGATGCTGATGGGATACGATGACACAAATCAGCTAGAACAGCTGAAACCAAGAGTGACCACCATAACAGTTTTGTCACCACACTCAAATATATTCCTGTTGGCAGCCGGAAAATCATTGAGTCTGGACCAGACAATCCAGTGATATGATATGAGCGACAACCCCCTCGTCAGGCTGTGAGGACACACCATCAACCAAGTCACCAAGCCTGTAGTAACTCACCTTGTATGACCAGCATGGGTTTCTAGGGACCTTATTCTAACCCATAATCCCCAAACTGGCCCAAACTGTACATGCTGTCCTTACCAAGATTACTTTGTATCCGAGGCGGTTCAGATTTCTCATTTTGGTCTGGTTGTGCCCATTCAGTTTGACATGGTACGCCTGGTGACTGCTGGTGACTGGCAGACCCTTCAGACTTGCAGCATCCAGAGACAGGCTGTCTGTTGTGAGGAACTGACGAATGCTTCCAAGCTCTATGGCGATCCTGTAAAAAAATCATAGTCTGCTGCTTTTATGTCATTACAAGTTTCAGAAAATTAAAAATTTCTAACAGTTGGTTCCAGTTTCTCTTTCATATGAGTGTAAACAGCAAATACTGGATACGTGATGACTTATGTAGGTAGGCTATTTACGAGCATCAAATACTGAAACATCCTGGACCATGTAGCTACCATGGACTACAGGAACATCACACCTGGCCACTGTGCTACCATGGACTACAGGAACATCATTAGACCACCTGGCCGGTGTGCTACCATGGACTACAGGAACATCATTAGACCACCTGGCCAGTGTGCTACCATGGACTACAGGAACATCATAAGACCACCTGGCCGGTGTGCTACCATGGACTACAGGAACATCATTAGACCACCTGGCCACTGTGCTACCATGGACTACAGGAACATCATTAGACCACCTGGCCGGTGTGCTACCATGGACTACAGGAACATCATAAGACCACCTGGCCACTGTGCTACCATGGACTACAGGAACATCATAAGACCACCTGGCCACTGTGCTACCATGGACTACAGGAACATCATTAGACCACCTGGCCACTGTGCTACCATGGACTACAGGAACATCATAAGACCACCTGGCCACTGTGCTACCATGGACTACAAAACATCCACTCGCCCACCCTTAACCATTAGCATTAGAAAAAGAGGGTTTCAACTAACTTGCGCTGTGTGTCCGTGGGCTTGCTGCCATGCTTGCTGTCCAGGGGTTGCACATTCCAGGGGTCTTGACTGACATAGTCCTCCGTCTTTATGGGATGGTTCGAGGCATCAAGCCTTAGTTCAATATCTGTAAGGTGATTAGCATCATTACACAATACATGTAGTCTTTATACACATGATAGAATAAATGGAACTGCATTAACTCAAACTTCAGTAACTCGATTGGCCATATTTGAAGCAAAACAAGACACAATCATTTTGTCAATGAGCGTACCAAATGAAGCATGGGTATAAAAACAGGTGTGATCTAGTCTTTGAGGCCAAGAAATTGAAGAGTGATTATCAGACAGAAATGAATGGAATGACATTCCTTGAATCGTTTTAACGTGAGTAGCTTCCATGGCTTGCCACCCTACCAGTAAACAAGATAGTGTCAGATAAAGCGACGACCATAACATGACATCTGAAACTATAGTGAGTGAGTGAGTATGGTTTTACGCCACTTTTAGCAATATTCCAGCAATATCACGGCGGGGGACACCAGAAATGGGCTTCACACATTGTACCCATGTCGGGAATCGAACCCGGGTCTTCTGCGTGACGAGCGAACGCTTTAACCACTAGACTACCCGACCGCCCCCTGAAACTATAGCCAACTACAAGCAGTTTCCAAAGGCTGAGTAATAATTCGGCCACTTTAGGGGTGATATTATTATCCGGAGTGGTAAACATTCCAGGTTTATTTCTACTGCTGTGATGTTCTTACTTGCACTTCTGTAGTGAGGTAGAATGTAGTCCGCCTTGACTCGGTCAGCACCTAACATGTTGGCAAGTGACTTGTGGATTTCTTTGAAGCCTCTGCGAATGTGGATCTCCTGTTGGAAGCTTCTCCACTCTCGGCTGTTGAACTCCTGAGCCACATTCTGCAGAGAGATCAATAAAACATCAACACCGAATAAACATCAACACGGAACAAGCGCATGGTCGATGAAGTCATCTATATCCCCCGCCCATTTTAACACAGTTTCATTGGAAAATATTTAACGGTTAATGAGTCAAGCTCTGGAAATAATACCCAATAATATAAATTTCTCAAATTCATAAATAGCAAAAGGCAACAATTCAGCATATGTCTGATAGATTCGGAAAATTTCATCCGGAATCGAACCCTACCCTTATTGATTTCTAAGTCCAACTTGCTGCCATGGAAACGTGAAAAATAAAAATGTCTAAAATTCCGAAATAACAAAAGGCACCAGTTCAGTATGTGCCTGGTAGACATGCAAAGTTTTGTAAAGAAAGCATTTAATGGTTTTTGAGTTACGCTCCGGAAATGAACACCACCCTTATAGAACCTAGGTCCAACTTGTTGCCATGGAAACGTAAAAAATTAAAATTTCTAAAATTCCTAAATAGCAAAAGGCACCAGTTCAGCATGAGTCAGATAGACATGCATAGTTTCGTAGAGAAATATTTAACGTTTCTGAGTTATGCTCCGGAAACGATTTCAGGATGCACGCACACACCCACACACACGCATGCACACACGGACGGAACCCATTTCAATATTCCCACCAACTTCGTTTCAACACGGAAAAGTAGTCACAGAAATACAAGGAAACACATTTTGTCCTCTTATTGGCAAATGGAAGCTCAACTATTCTTATGTTCCCAAAATATCAGTTAAAAAACCCCGCAAATATAGGGCATGACTATTGTGACATTCCCTATATTGCGGTTTTAGGATCTAGGATTCAAACGTACAATCTTAGATTTCTGGCTGCAAAGGGACATAAATTGCGGTGCTTTAGACAACTATGCCCCCCGTGCCCCCATCGTCCATATGAGTAACAATATGGTAAAATCAGGATTCAAGGATGTTTGTTTGTTTGTTTAACGCCGCACTCAGCAACATTCCAGCTATAGTCTGGAAGGTAATTTAAGGTACTGACATTTACTACAATATCTGAAAAACAATTGGACCTACTCCAGTCAAAGTTGGTATGAGATTATTAAACAGTCATACATAACTGGATATTACATTTAAAGACAATCGGTGCATGAATAAAAAATCTATCTATTTAGCTATCGCTATATTTCATCAACAACCAGACCTGTTCGTCACTGGTGGAACGAGCATTCATTGAAACAGCCATCTGCATAATGCTACCCCTGCGTCACAGAGCCATATGACACAGTTGAACCAATCAACTCAACTCGAAAGTGTGCACGGGAATCACGCACGCACGAATACGGTGTTAGCGTTGGGCTTCTCAACGTGCGTGATTCCCGAACTATATATGACGGTGGTCTGTAAATAATGGAGTATGGACCAGACAATCCAGTGATTGACATCATGAACATTGATCAAGGCAATTGGGACACGATGACATGCATCAACCAAGTCAGCGAACCTGACCACCCAATCCCATTAGTCACTTCTTACGACAAGCATAGTCGCCTTTTATGGCAAGCATGGGTTGCTGAAGACCTATTCTATCCCGGATCTTCACGGGCGATTCAAGGATGTAGAGACTCACCCAAGCTTGCTGCAGCCCGGTATATTCAGGACATTCAATCAGAACATTGTTGCTCAGAAGACGAAGTTGCAGTTCTTTTGAACGTCTGGGAGCTGAAATGTAGTAACATCAACATCAGATGAGGGCAACATAGTAACCATGGTAACTGCCTTGACCAAGTACGATCTCAAACCACTAACCCGCTAGCCTGCAAGTCCATTCCTACTGACATTGTGAAAGGGCAAGTGGAATGTACACAAGTAACAGGCCATTGGTTCAGTCTTACAGAACTTTCTGGCCTGAATGACCATTCCTAAAAGGTATTTGTGAATGAGTTTGTAATAATGGCGCTTGAAACAGTATTTCAGTTATATCATGGCATGTACTCTTTATCAAGATAATGTGTGAGGAAAGCCCACAGTGATGCTGGTTGTAGATGCTTACAACTTGGGTGAAACCCACGAGCACGGGTATGGTGCCAACAAACCTAGAAACATAATCAGGGCCAATCAAGTCAAAGGATACTGGCATGCCTAAGGGACGCAACTCCTAAGAAACATGACCGCCTCCGTGGTCTAATGGTAGAGCGTCCGCCCGGAGAGCGGAAGGTCCGGGGTTCGATCCCCGGCCGCGTCATACCAAAAGACGTTAAAAGATGGTACTTGTTGTTACCCTGTCTGGCGCTCGGCATTAAGGTGGGCTAGCACTATAAATCGGCATCAGTCCGGACTAGTACAAGCAGCCACACAACACACACACGTACATGCACGTCGCTATATAAGTGCAATAATCTTGGACGCGACGTTAAACCCCGTTTCACCTCACCTCACCTAAGAAACATAATCAGGGCCAATCAAGTCAAAGGATACTGGCATACCTAAGGGATGCAACTCTGTATAGGATGAGCACATCAGACAACTGCACCACCAAAATATATCTGTGCTTCACTTTTTATTGATTACTTCTCACAACCAACAAATAATAAAGATCAGAAATCTCAGCTTCATTTGAACGAAAATAGTGGGTGAGCACCAACTCATTACTTTCACAGGTAAGTTTCATGACTCCCAAGACTCAAAGTGTTTGTAATAGATGTCATGTGGTCTGTAGCTTAACATGGCATAATAACCCTGTGTCACCTAAACACCGATCAACATTAATATGCAGTCTCTCTGTAACCATGGCAACACTCCGTCGTATTTGGTACTACCACCAGTTTGTGAAAGTCTCGAAAATATTGTTAGCCTTAAAAGTTACAAGCCAGTTTCGGGGCCACGGGTGGCGCCGCGATTCGCTGTGCAGAGTTGCATCCCTTGGGCACGCCAGAAACCTATGATTGTGGGTTCGAATCCTGGTTCGCCCCGATTATGTTTATAGGTCTGTCAGCACCATACCCGTGCTTGTGGGTTTTACCGAAGTGGTAAACGTCTGAGACCTGCGTCACTTCAATTTGATATATATATTTTTGAGGGTCGTATTGATCTAGGGAAAGAAGACAACATTCTTTTATTCTGATAAACTAAGACTTAGTAGGAGGAGTGCAAACACAAAGACTATCGTTAAAATTTCAGTAGCCAGTTGGACGAGGGACATTTCAGAACTGTTAATCCGACCGAAATTTAGCAGGCAGGAGGCTATTTCACACACGACTATTTCACTACAACTACCAAATATAAGAGCATGGTTTATCATGGCACCATAGACATAAAGAGCATCTCAAAGACTATGCATGGGAATAATAAATCCATACACGACATCACACCTTTTAAGAGGTTGACTTTTTTTGGGTGAAACAGCATATCCAGCATATCCGTGGGGAATATTCCAAGGTAGGCCAAGCCATGCAGCATGTCCGCCAGAGATTCAGGGTGTGTTCGTTCTTGTTCAAAACGTTTGTAAGCTTCCACTAGTTTCATATAGGACGTCTTCCCACTGACTGGTTCATGGTGCAACATCCCCATCGCCTTCACAAACTGAGCAATATCTTTAGATCGTGGCTTCACTTTCAAGTTGCTGTGTGTACAAAGTCCAACAAAGGCTGACAGTAAGGACTGGGTCAACGGTTTGTGGTATACGGAGGCTGATGCATAAAATGCTGCAATATGCATCAAAACTGAAGGATTAATTGTTGTTTGAATGAAGGACAAAGTCACTATTTTGTCTGCAAAGTTTTGAAAGAAACTGAATTTGAAAAAGCTTGAATGGGACAATACTTTGGTTATATTTATCAACATATTTTTCTCCACAAGTTCAAGTTCATCGACAAGTCTTTGACTGATTCGATCTAGAAGCTCATAAGATAATATTCGCACATTGCCTCGAAAAAATCCAAGACAAATTAATCCTATATCATTGACGTGTAACATTTCCAGGTTAGTTGACAAATAATCTTCGACCTTTTTAAAAAGCATTGACGGTGCCCTACCGTGGAAATACACAAAATACATCAAATGGACGACAGTTTTGGGGGAGTAAGCACTGAAATCTGCATGCAGAGCATAATCAAACAGTCGAGGCAGGAACATTACTTCCATGTAGTTATGAGAAACATATACATCTGCAACTTGTAACGACTTGTCGAGTCCGATGTCATTGATGCGTGTACTAAATCCCTTCTCTACATCATGTCCAGCAGCCAAAGTTTTACTCAAATTGTTAATTTCACTTTTCCAATCCTTTTCATCCACTGCATTCATGGATGCCCCAGTCAATGAAGTGTTTATATCTGCCAGTATTGACTGTTTCTTCATAAACGTCAAGATTTTGTTGGCCACTCGGAATGGTACAGGGTTCCTCTCAAATCTGTCATTCCCTGAGCGTTGCTTGGTAGCAGCAGAGACATGCCTGACACTGGCTGCACAGATGTTGTTGGGAAACAGACCCCTGCTGGCCAGCCTGGCAATGTTTCTTAGTGCCAACATGTCGTCACTGACGATGTCTACAACAAGTGTACAGGATCGCCACTGCAGTCTTGTTCTGCAATACTGAAAAGATATGATGGAATAATACGATAAAATATGTTAACATCGTTACACATACTGAACACTCGGGAATACTAAGATTAGACAGTTAAATAAAGAGAAGCTAGACTAGGGCTCAACTGTCAGTCTAGGTGGGTGGGTGGGTGGGTGCGTGGGTGCGTGGGTGCGTGCGTGCGTGCGTGCGTGCGTGAGTGAGTGAGTGAGTGAGTGAGTGAGTGAGTGAGTTAAAAAAAATTAAGTCACATCAGCAATATTTCAGCCATACATCAGCAATATTTCAGCCATATCGTGACTATCAAGAGTTTAACATAACAAATGCATTACATAAAAACCTGCCAACTAAAGACAGTAAAATAACTAGACTTATCACAGAAAAGGATTTAAAACTAGTATTGAATCATAAAATGGATAACACTATACATAACATCACATTATAAAAACGGGCTATAGGTCGCCAGCAACTGAAGGTAGTGCACCATACTAGGGACCATGGGGACTTACAGTACTTTAGCTTCCTGCCTCATGTGCATGGACCCCAGCAGGATTTACATCATCCCTTCAGGTGTTGGCGATTATTGACAAATTTAGCCAATTAAAAGAACACATATTCTGCGATTAAAAAACTATAGTAAGAATAACATACTTTGAATATTATGGACTTACGATACCCTCTCTGGGGGACAATAATTTTACACTACTTAACCCCCTTCAACATGTTCAAGGTTACAGCCACATACATTCACAGATATCAGTTCATTCTACTAATGTTAAAAATCATTTATTTTATACAAAACAAGTTAACAAACTTATTATACAACTCTATTTATTTAAAAAAAAACCAATAATTAAATGAGAACTAATGTTATTAAAAAGATTCTTCATAGATGTAACCTTGAAATATTTATCCCTTGTGATGGAAAAATCAATACAGTCAAGCAGGACATGCTAGGGATTTAACTGAAATTCTAAACTAAGTGACCATGTCAGGCAAATTTGAAACAAAATAATTTTGTATTGTATTCAAGTTATATTTCCACAAAATTGTAAAGTATTTTGACCAAATGGCCGCTCATAGATATCAAGTCTTAAAATAACAATAAAAAATAACTTTCATGTCAATCTCTGATTTATTACGATTGCTAGAGCGAGAAAAGATGTTATTTACAAGCTCCTACTAGCGCCTGACAAGTTATTTCAAGCTCCTCACAGCGATTTCCCATTTGCTGAGCTCTCTACCTGTAGTGTAACGAAGGTGTCACGTGCTGGGAAGGAGTTTGAAGTTTGTGATACCACTGTGAGGAGATTAGGCTTATTTTTAACATTTCATTTAGTGCTATACAGCAAAACTAAGCATTAATGTCCTTTCCTCTTTATCATGTAGCTAGCTGTTATCAGTATTATACAATTACCTTAGACGATATATCAATAACATGAATTGAATTTTGTATTTTTGACCATATGGCCGCCTATATATCATGTATATATATCACTTATATAATAATACAAAATAACTTTCATGTCAATCTCAATTCGTATTGTGTAGACAGGCTATCATATTGCATTGCAATTACTATATCAAGATCAGTATCATATATATGTCATGACAAAGTGTTTAATTACAGCCCTAGTTTCGATGGACACATGTCAAATACGCATAGCAATTAGCAGCTATCTAAAAATAGCCTCCTAAAATGTCCACATCAACAACTGGTCACATCTACCTCAGTACAGTGGAAACTTTCATCATGGACACTTAATACGTCTATAGGCTATTTAGGGTCCATGCTTTCATTTACAATTTAAACAACCACTGCATGGGGACTGAAATGTCGAGGTGTGCTGAGTCAACCAAAACATGCAAAGCCACGACGACTCCAAGTCACAATTAACTTATCCAACAGCTTACTCTGTTACCAAATTACATAATGCTGATCATGTTGTTTCATAACGTAAAATCGTAAACACTTAGATTGAGGACTTCGTATGTCCTTGTGAGATTTTGTAGAACTATCGTTCTGTTGCGCATCGGACGAGGAATTAAAAGAATTCTTGCTGAAACATTTGCAAGATGTCAACTGTCTACTTATCTTACCGTTCCTGTGATCAACCGATGAGAGCGGCCTGTTCTAAAAGTCAAGCATCACGAAAAGCAATATTCAGAGAGAAGCTGTTTCCACGCGAGATTGCAAGCTCCAAACAGCGTGATCTTTATCTTCGAATGTGCAGTGTGTTGAAGAGGCCGATACCAAGCGTTGGGGTGGAGCTTGATGGTTATCTAATGCAGACTGGGATCCGGCGTAAACGGCCACTCGGTGCATTGGAGCATCGGGGCGCAATGGTTCCTGGGATAAAAAGACGCACATGCGGAAATATACTTTGTAATAAAAAAAGGTACCATTCTCTTATTATAAAGAACACTTTTAGCATCAATCAGTGTCATGAACTCTGATTTATTATGATTGCTTGGCCGAGAAAAGATGTTATTTTCAAGCTCCTATCAGCGCCTGACAAGTTATTTCAAGCTCCTCACAGCGATTACCCGGTAGTGTAACGAAGCTTTAACGCGCTGGGAAGGAGTTTGAAGTTCGTGATACCACTGTGAGGAGATTTGGCTTTTTATAACTAGGATGGGCTACGTAATTGTGCGCTGCAATTTGCGATAACTAGTTTAGAAGAAAACCATGAGCTCAAAACATCATCATATGCAGTGCCGCTTTGGTGCATAAGGAGAGCCGAGGAAGCTACACACGCTGCGGTAGAGCTTAGCAATACACACCACGAGGAAGCTTAACTGGTTCCTCTGTTGGAATGCGTTGCCGCATTGACGTATTTAGAAATAGGTTTTTGGAGACAAACTCAAGTCTAAAAGAAGCGTTGATAGACATGTGAAGGTTACGGGAATCCAACATCAACAGTCTCATACCGGTAGGTAGATCTAGTTACCGTTATGACAGCCATTATTTGCGATAAGTACTGACAGTGTGTGGAGTTGAGACGCATTAGCGGACCTGACTTCCGAGATCATGAATGCAGTAGACCTGTATGTAATTTGATTGAAGGAGATCACAAGATTGGATCGAGACAACAACACCGACCTATGTCATGAATCATTGACCGCTTATTGACTGCAAGGTGTATCAGTTGGTAAATCTTAATGTATACACATGTTGCTGTCGACATGACCAATGCCGTATAACACCTGTAGATTGTCTTGCCAAGACTGACAGGACTACAAGATTCACTCATCCACTCACTCACTCATGTTTGTTTGTTAATATCGCACTCAGCAATATTCGTATGACCACGGTCTGTAAATAATCAAATCTGGATCAGACTATCTAGTGACATGACAATAGATCCTCCATTTGGGACATGACATGCATCAACCAACCAAGTCAGCGGGCCTGACCACCTGAACCATTTAGTCACCTCTTACGACAAGCATAGGACCGATTCCGGGGTAGAATAGGTATTCATGAATTGATAATGACCTGTTTGATCACATATAATACGCAAGTTTCCTCCTCAGCTTAACCCTGCATCTCTTGCCATCCCTTAGCTTGGGACCCGTGAAGATTCTGGGGTAGAATAGGTCTTCAGCAACCCATGCTTGCCGTAAAAGGTGACTATGCTTGTCGTAAGAGGCAACTAACGGGATCGGGTGGTCAGGCCCGCTGACTTGGTTGATGCATGTCATCAATCCCAATTGCGTGGTTTGATGCTCATGATATTAATCACTGGATTGTCTGGTCCAGACTCGATTATTTACAAACCGCCGTCATATAGCTGGATTGTTGCTGAGTGCGGCGTTAAACAACAAACCAACCAACAAGCAGCTGGGGACCCATATTCTTACCGGTTGTCACCACAGGTGTACTCATGTATGATTTTATCAAAGAATATACATGGTACATACACAAAATCATCCAGGGGGGAGGTGGGGGGAAGTATATATACTAAACATTTTGTACGTTCTCAATATATGGATGATCAGGTACACTGAAAGTTAACACACTGGGTGTAACGACACTATGTCTATCTAGCCTCTTTGGTGAATTCCAAATTCACATGATGTGAACCATGCTTGTCATAAGAGGTGACTAACGTGATCGTGTGGTCAGGCAAGCAATCAGTGGGTTGATGCATGTCAATGATCCCAATTGCGTGGATCGATGCTCATGTTGTCAATCACTGGATTGTCTGGTCCAGACTCAGTTATTTACAGACCGCCGCCATATAGCTTGAATATTGCTGAGTGCGGCGTTAAACAACAAATAAACAAACAATTTTAACGAACGATGCGAACCTCTCCATTTAAAACAGCTGTATTGGTACTTGATAAGGGGAGAGAATAATGGCAGATCTAGTGAATCAGGACATGTTTCCTACATTTCAGGGAGCAAGTAACATGTGAACATGAAGGTGTCATTTTTATGCAAGTTGACATGCCAGTATGGCCAAGCATTTAGGAGAGCTTGGAGCCTGCATGGGTCCAGATACAAGTCAGAATACCTACAACTCTCTCGCTGTTCCTCGTCAGTTTCATCAGGGAGAGGTCCTGGCCCAAGGACAGGTTCCCATCTTCACACAGCTCCGATCAAGCGGCCAGGCTCGGTGGCAGATTTCATTACCATGCAAGGGTTACAAGTTACAGACAATGCAATAGCCAAAACACGTGAATTTGAAAACGAGTACTATCATTTTTACTTGGAACAGTCTGAGTTTAGGGAATATTTTCTGTCTGGAAGTCTCCAGGATTCTTTCCAGCACCCAGATGCAATACTGTCTTCCCAGGTTTATGAAAATAAACATTGTGAAAGTACGAACAGTGCTGATCAAATTATATCTGAGCATGTAAGGCAGTTGATGGTAGCGTCAGAAAAGCAAGACATTGATTCTGTGATAAAGTCAATGTGTGAACTGTCCAGATACTTAACTACAGAGTTACCTGTCGTCAATGACGATACATTGTTACAATGCATGAGAAATATCATAAAATACCCATTCCGAGATTGCCTCAAAGGAGAGTCTAGAGTCCTTCGCTTAGAGATTGCAACCTTATTTCAGAAGGAATTCCTGAGAAGACATTCCGAATGGGATATGAAAACATATTTCCTCGCTGCAGACTTTCACTACCATTTTCGACTAAGTTACAGCATAAGCCGCTTCATGAAGTCCTTTTTCAACCACATGCAGAAAAACATTCACAACCTTTCTCACGGAGACCTCGTTGTTCTTATGTATCACGTGTCCCTCTACCGAAAAATGTCAAGGTACACGTTGTTGTTACTCGTTGAAATAATTTCGGCAAGACTCTCTGAGTTTAACGCCCAAACTATTGGCATCGTTTGTTTAGGTCTTTTCAAATCAGAGTGGTATTGTCCGAATAAACAGCTTTTAAACAAGATCATTGATTTATCAGGGGGCATTGTCAATGAGCTAGATGATGTTTCCCTAACAGCTCTTCTTAAGTATCTGCGGAGGTACACACACAGACGAATGATATTTGCTGTACCAGATAAGTACCAGACATTAATAGATCTCCAACCAGTGCTTCAAGCCCGTATGCAAGGCACTCATCACAGCACTCTGATAAACATTGTTCATCTTTATGAACATCTCAATGATATATCTGCAGATATGATTCAGGAATTGTGTAGAATTCTGTTAAAAGAAGATTTGGAAAGTTGGCGCCTAAAGGATCTCGCCAAGTTTTGCTCCATGGTTGGGAGGTTATCGTTCCCAGTTCAAGGACGAAGAGAAGCCTTTAAGAAAATAGTATTGGAGTTGGCTTCCAATAGGCGTGCCATAGAGATGAGAACATTCATGCCATCATTTGTAGCTTGTCTTCGTGGAATGTCTCTTGATGGATTCTACCCACTGGAGTTGATAAGTCAGCTGTTCAGCACTACAGAGGGATGTGAGTGTAAGTGTCCTTATGTTTTGCTTTGTGTTTATTTGTTAGTTAATGCTACACTCAGCAATATTCCAGATATATGATGGCGACCTGTAAATAATCAAATCTGGGCCAGACAAACCAGTGATTGATATTCTGAGCAATATCCCACATGGTAGGGATACAATGACACGCAATCAGCCATTCAGTTGCGGTTTGGACAACCATAGGTTGCTAAGGACTTAATCTAACCTGGAATCCCCACAGTGTTTCGAGGTGTAATCACATGGTAATAGAAAGTATTATGATTTTTAGATAAAGTACTAGAGCTTTAAAAAATTATGTACTTTCTATTTCCAATCAGATTGCACAATTGTTAAGGAAATCTGCAAAATGACAATCCATTAAGAGATTAAGGTTCCAGTCTAGTTGTTGCTAGTTGTATATTTTTATAAGTAATGAAACTCCAGAACCCATCACGCCCATGCTTGTCTCTCCTTTTGGGTTCTGGGCAGTTTTAGTGACATAGCGCCCGTGCATAGTGCTTGTTATGACCATAATAAGGGAATAGATACAGCCCTAAGATCAAAAGGGCAATGGGGTAGCCATGTGGTTAACATGGTTAAAGCGTTTGCTTGTTACATCAAAGACCTGGGTTCGATTCCCGACATGGGTACAATGTGTGAAGCCCAATTCTGGTGTTCCCCGCCATGATATTGCTGGAATATTACTAAAAGTTGCATAAAACCATACTCACTCCAAAAGATCAAACCACCAGCCCCAATAATAAATAACCACTCTCTAAGAGGCAACTAATGAGGATTGGGTGGCTGTTATTGTGTGTCATCTGCTCATGCCGTCATCCACTGGTTTGCCTAGTCCAGGACAGTTGGAGGTGAGGTGAGGTGAAATGGGGTTTAACGTCGCGTCCAAGATTATTGCACTTATATAGCGACGTGCATGTACGTGTGTGTGTTTGTGTGGCTGCTTGTACTAGTCCGAACCGATGCCGATTAATAGTGCTAGCCCACTGAGATACCATGCCGCAGTTTAACATGAATACCCCACTCACACACAGTATACAGACTCCGAGCCGACCAGTCCTTGTTTTAGCCCTTAATGCCGAGACAGGGTAACAACAAGTACCATCTCTTAACGTCTTTTGGTATGACGCGGCCGGGGATAAAACCCCGGACCTTCCGCTCTCCGGGCGGACGCTCTACCACTAGACCACGGAGGCGGTCAGGACAGTTGGAATACTGCTGATGTCAGCAGCATGGAGTCAGACTACACTCAAGTAAAGGGATATGTCATCTCCGACCTATTTTGAACTGAGAATGTATTGCCTCATGTCTCTGTACACAGATCGGATACACATTGGCCAGAACCTGTACCACGTGTCGGAGAGCGTGAAGATCGAGGTTCCCCACTACACTGGACCGTTCCTAGTTGACCAGGGACAGATCGCTCTTGGCAGGGTATGCTTACTACATGATCACAGACAGAATTTTGTGATGTTTTGTTTTATTATAGGCACTGCAATTCGTAGAGTAGAGTTGTGTTATAAGCTAAGCTTGTTAAGTGGGTCAGAAACCTATGATCATGAGTTTAAATCCTGGAATCGCCGTGATTATGTTTCTTGAAACCTCTGCTTATGGGTTTTACCTAACATGTCAAAGTGGTAAGCATCTGAGACCTGCATCACTCTCAGCTTTTCCTCCACATAAACATGATGAAGCTGATACGCCATGATATAACTGGAATACTGTTCACAGTGGCTTTAACTAAGATCACTCACCATTTCAGTTCCAAGATGGCAGTATTAGTCATGCCCTGTAGTACTACAGTGTTGTCAAATCTAGACCTAAACCATGGAATCAGGAGATAGTCAGTGAGTGAGTGAGTGAGTTGGGTTTAATGCTGCTTTTAGCAGTATTCCAGTTATATCACGGCATGTCAGCTCAATGTGACAGGAAAGCCTGAAGTGATGCAGGTCTGAGACATTACAAGTTTGGTGAAACCCACGAGCACGGGTATGGTGCTGACAAATCTGGAAACATAATCGGAGCGAACAGGGATTCGAACCCACAATAATAGGTTACTGGCATATGCATGGCCAAGGGATGCAACTCTGTACAAGAACAATACATCCAAACGTTTTATTCTTACTTCTGATAGGTGAGCATTTATATATAATATAGTGGCTGCAGGGATACAAGTGTGCATTAGGATTGTTTTCTGTATCATCAACATGAAAAAAATAATAAAAATACGAGAATCTGTACTTTACAAAGAAAGTGTTATCCCAAATACATGTATATTCCTGTTAGTAATTTCATTGGTAGGTCATAGTTCGCGAAAGGTTGTTCTGACGTGACCTGTAATGGGATGTCCTCGCTGATAGCTCGGGCAGATGACCACGGAGTACGCTGATCACTGCTGGATTAACGAGACTGATTAATGTGTGATTTTGGTAATTCGTTGCAAATTAGGTGTGTCGGAGTCAGAGTGCGAGACTGTCGGATTAACGGGTCTAAATAGCACCGATTTAATCGGTTCCCATCATTAGTGTCGATAAAGCCGATTGTCGGATTTACGAGCGTCAGATTAACTAGACGTGACCGTATATATAACATAACATTTGTTACATCAGCATAATCAACACAATTGGTATTGAATACACTATTCTGATTTTTAAATATGCTTTCAGTGCAGGAAGTATGAGTCTGTTCAACAAAAGCAAAACCAGAAAAAAGTAGAAAGAGAAGACTTGACAAATGAACTGATCTGCTTGTACTCGAATATCCTCGGTGGGACAGAGTATGTGCATCTTGGCACACTCCTTTCTCACTACAATACCCCTGGTGAGTACAGTCCTCTACCTGCCTCCACGGTGAGTAGTGTACAGGCAGTGTGTGACAAACTCACTAGAAAACACTACCTCTAAGTTATATCACAATGTGTCAATGTGTTAGGGAAAAGCCTGAAGAAATGCAAGCAAGAGATGGTTTCCAATTTGGTGAAGGCTACTAGCATGGTATGGTACTGACAAAACAAGAATCTGAAATTAATAACCACGATCATAGGATGCTGGAGTATCTAAGGGACATAACTCTACATAGATAGGAGGACAATCAGGATAGGAGGCAACAACACTGATAGGTTTTCATTGCTGAAGTGACTTGCTGGTAAGCCAAATCTAGGAAAACTCTCCTCACATCTGTGGTCAACCAGTCTTAAAATGAAACCTAGTGCTCAGATTATCAGGGTCGAAACAACTCTATGAACAAATCTCTGGGCCGGGGGATGGGGGGGATTCCAAGGGCAGTGAGTGAATTAAAATTTAACATTGCATCAGCATTATCTCAGCCATATAGTGATGAGAACAAGTTCTTATATTTTCAATTAAGTCATGAATACAAATATGTAGGTTCATGTATAACAATATTATTTATGCAGTTGAATCCTAGGCAGAGAGCATCCTACATACCTCATACATGTGTACAGACATATGAGGAACAGGTGTTAGGAATGTGTGACCTGGCCGATTGTGTGTCATCTTGCCTAAATGGTGTGGACTATTGCTGTGTTATAAACCACTGGTTTGCATGGTCCAGACTCAATGATTTACATGCTCCTATGATATAGTAGCTGTTGCTTGACACAACATTCACTCACTCCCACTCGAACACAGGGGCAGACACCGTTGGTCAAAATCCAACCCATCTGCAGCTTATTCTGGGTTGTAGGATACAAGTCTCTCTGGATTCTTTGGACTAGGGTTGTGCCTATATATATCCCTGTAAGGACAGATTTATTGTCTCTATAGCTTAAAGTATTTGGTGTCTTATCCAGACTTGACTATTTACAGACCGCCATCATATGGCTGGAATATTGCTGAGGGTGGCGTTAAACAACAAACAAACAAATATAATATTTGGTTGGCACAGCTTGTGAGAGGGTTTTCATTTGAACAGCCAGAATGTTAGTGGTAAGTGATATTTACTAACCAAGACCGAGGCATTCAAGTTAAATGAACTTTCGAGCATGTGCACAATTGGATGTGGTGTACAATGTACATACTTGAGTATTAACCTAATTTGAACCTCACGGTCAATGTTAGTAAATATTTGACACACTGACAGAGAATTAACTTTTATGTTCCATCTGTTTTACCACATATGCACATGCAAATGAGTATGTGGGCACATGGAACTTGTATCGTGTCTATTGTAAAACAGGTGATGCACGGATATGAATAGACTAACATTTAGTCTATGAAATCTTATATTACACAATATCCTTCTTGACACTAAAAAAAATTCTCCCTATGCTGATTTCATAGAGCTAGCTAGAGTTGGCTAGACTTGTGTTTGTATGCGTTTCTAGATTATTATTTTTTTTATAAAATAAATATATTCCACGGTCATGGTGCAGGACTAGGATATGAACAGCTGTGACAAGCTCTAGAGCTAAAGTACTCATGGAAATGAAAAAAACCTGTTTTGCTGGATATAATAATTGACACAAAGCATTACATAGATGTAAATACGAAATAACAAAACAACTGGAAAAGTACTAGTCTGGATTTGCTAGTTTTATCTCAGTGCTCAATACAAAATGTACTTTACAGGAGGTAATTTGTAGGCACTTTCAACATTCAAAAATAAAACTAAGTCCAAATTGACATGGCAGAAACAGGCTATAGGCATTATGCAAATTAGCCTGGAAAAAAGTTATCAAAACAACAATAAAAATAACAGCTATGTTTATGTACATAATAATAATGACATGTAGGTTGTTGTTTGAGAAGGGAATATGTTACTTTTACGTTCTCATATTTTGACAATGATTTACTATCCCACAATGCCACTCACAAATCACTAACCACTGACAAATCACATGCACGTGGGTTTCAAGCACCTGTTTTCACCTGTCGTCAAGGTGTCATAGGTCATGGACATTCACCTTGATCTACTAACACCTGGTCATGCTCAGTTTCCCATTAGTCTGTTTTGTTCATATTTTTACACACTTTTACGTGTAAAAAGACATAAAAACCTTTGATATACGTTGTATTTGTGCCAAGGCCCAATTAGTACTAATTGAGTTGTTTGAATATTTATATATTTTGTAGATTAACTGCTTCTATTTAAAATCTGAGATCGAAAAAAGTTTTTTTTCCATTTCCGTGTGTAATATGATTTACTGCACCCGCCTACTTGCGATGATTGTTTTAATAATCTGGAACCAGTTGTTTTTAACTTCGTACACATCCCCCTCCTCCTACGAACTTGATTGTAAAATCTATAGCTTCAAATCTTAGTGAAAACATTGTTTGACTGTAACAGTATTTTATCATTATGCAATATGTACATCCCAAATCGTGGTACACAATTCCTAGTTGTTAGGTGAATACATCTAGAGATGCAGGATTATCGTTTTGATTTTGTCATCATGACATGCAGGAGTGGTCTTCGTGTTTCAGATATTGAACTGAGACTTGATTCTGACGGGACAGCGATACCTGTAGCTGAATGGACCACTCTGGCAGCCAACAAGAATCAAAGGCCACATGTCAAGTATGTCAGAGACTTTAATCAGCTTTCATGTTGGTACCTATTTGAGGTTATGTGAAATGTGGATTTAACGTTGCGTCCAAGATTATTGCACTTATACTGCCTGTATGGTGTGTTGATGTCAGCAAATGACTTGTATTGGGGTATTGGTGCATGGTTTCAGCTCCTATGGGGATTCCAGGTTAGAACAGGTCCCCAGCAACCTATGCTTGTATGCAGAGGGTAAATGAAACAGGTGATCTAACTGTGATTTGGTTGATTGCATGCCATTGCACACTGACAGCGTGGGACGTCACTCCTAACATCCATCCCTGTTTTGTCTGGTCCAGACTGAGTTATTTTTAGGCCACCACTGAGCGGGAATATTGTTAAAAGTGTGCTGTTAGACAACAGAAGGCATGTTTTTACGTTGTGTACACCTGGTCCTGTCTGTGGTTGCAGAGTGGCAGTGCTGCTGTATCCCTTCAACGCCATCTACTTACTGCGGAGGCTGCAGGGTGACGTGGAGATGCATGTGTCCGGCTACTATCTGTGTAAAGCAAGGCAACTCAGGCAATTTGGCTATCAAGTCGTGGAGGTACGGCTGGGATGAATCACTGTCTTTAACTGGGTTTACTGAAGGAGAACAGGATGGGACTATAACATGATAAATACTCACACAAGCTACAACCGCCCCGTGAAGATCAGGGGTAGAATAGGTCTTCAGCATGCTTGTCGTAAGAGGCGACTAACAGGATCGGGTGGTCAGGCTTGCTGACTTGGTTGAAGCATGTCATCGTATCCCATTTGCGTGGATTGATGCTCATGATGTCAATCAAATGATTGTCTGATCCAGACTCGATTATTTACAACGCGCCATAGTACAGCTGGAATATTGCTGAGTGTGGTGTTAAACAACAAACAAATCAAACAAAACAAGCTACGAGACAGTCCCGTTAGGTTCGCGATAACGGGGTTCGACTGTATATGTATATGTATATGTAGGAGCAGCTCTTTAACAGTTTAATACTGCATGCATAGCTGTTCAACCCCGTGGAGAACCGGGACAGAATAGATCCCAGCATCCTTTGCATGGGGTGGTTATCAGCTGATGCCCACTGAGTAGATGTTGCTCACAACATCAATCACTGGTTTATGGTTTATCTGGGTGAGACTTGATTATTAACAGGCTGCTGGACATAGCTGGAGTATTGCTGATTGTGGTGTAAGATTTGATTTGATAAACATCTTATGGATAAGTCATCGCACAAGTACTAGTGGTGGACACAATTCAGAAGAACACTGGTTTGCTTCCTACCTAGATATGTAGAATGGGATCAGGTGGTCAGGCTCGCTGACTTGGTTGATGCATGTCATCGGTCCCAATAGCGTGGATCGATGCTCATGATGTCAATTAGTGGATTGTCTGGTACAGACTCAATTATATACATATAGCTGGAATATTGCTGAGTGCAGCATTAACAATAGACTAACATTTAGTCTCTGAAATCTTATATTACACAAAAAAAATAATTTTTTCCCCCTATTTCTAGATTATTATTTTTTCATAAAATAAATATATTCCACGGTCATGGTGCAGGACTACATTAACAACAAAAGAAAACAAAAAACCTATATATGTTCTGATGTTGGGCCGTAATTCTACATGATCTTCGGGTTTTTCTGCTCTAATACCTCTTTTGTTGTCACAGATTCCTCACTATGAGTTTCAAGAAGCACATGATAAGCAGTCCTACCTTAAACAGAAGTACTTGGAGCGATCAAGACAGCACAGTAATGCTGCATAGCAGATGGCCAAACCAAACTTACCACTGTTTGCAACCTCTATTCAGTGGACAACAGGATATCGACCAATCAAGAGAATCTGGATACCGGCCAATCAAGAGAATCTGGATACCGGCCAATCAAGAGAATCTGGATACCGGCCAATCAAGAGAATCTGGATACCGGCCAATCAAGAGAATCTGGATACCGGCCAATCAAGAGAGAATCTGGATACCGGCCAATCAAGATTGAGTCAGGATATCGACCTATCAAGACGGGCAGTGTTACATGACAAGCTTTGTGTGAACTTGTATGCTGTCGGGAGTCAAGTATTCCAACACATACATGTGTGTAAGTCAACAAACAAAAGGACATGTTTAGATATGGGGAAATGAGTGTTTATTGACAACTCCATCTTGCAATGCCATAAAGTTATTCTATACAATGTTATGTACATACTGTACACATGAGGGACAGCGGGAGGCGGAGTACTGCAACATGAACAGCCAGAGTGCATCTGCTCCATCATCGTTCACACACCTACTTCAACAAGTTTTCCCATCCTCAGGAGTATTCACATTATCAGATTTAAAGAAATATGTATCGGTGCCATATTAACATGATTAAAGCAAAGAAACATAATTTTTTTCTACATGTTTTCAAACATAGCAGTACTTTTATTCCAGAAAATGTTGAACTTGGTGAACTCTTCAAAAGCAATGCCAGCAAGAGAAAAAACATGACACTTTGCTTAATGTTGCAGACAGACAGAGACACATGATAAACAATCTCCAGGAGTCCTGAACAGTCCAGTCATTGCTGTACACTAACATCTTACACCAAGGTTCCTCCTTGAGAGTTCCCATTAACTGTACAGTGTACAGGATGACCTAGTGTCCTGTATTTGTCTACGTGTAGACACAAGATTAGAATTTCTACAAACTTCATCGGTACTTGTTCAATACAAGTCATCAATCATCATGATCAAATTATCAGTCAGTTTTGCTCACTATCATCCTGACTCTCCTGACCTCTCTCAGTCATCCTTCTTGCTATCATCCTGACTCTCCAGTCCTCTCTCAGTCCTCATTCTCGCTATCATCCTGACTCTCCAGTCCTCTCTCAGTCATCATTCTCGCTATCATCCTGACTCTCCAGTCCTCTCTCAGTCATCATTCTCGCTATCATCCTGACTCTCCAGTCCTGATAAAAGCATCATCAGCTCCTCAAATCTCGCTGCAACCTGCAACAAATGAGAAGTGAATTTCAGCATGTGACCAAAGTTGAATGGATCCTTCACTCTATTCTACACAAAGAGTTTGTTTGATTGTTTGTTGTTTAATGCCGCACTCAGCAATATTCCAGCTATATGAGGGCGGTCTGTAAATAATAGAGTCTGGACCCGACAATCCAGTGATTGACATCATGGGCATCGATCCACACAATTGGAATATGACGACATGCATCAACCAAGTCAGCAAGCCTGACCACCCGATTCTGTTAGTCGCCTTTTTTGACAAGCATAGTCACCTTTTACAGCAAGAAAGGGTTGCTGAAGACACAAAGAGTACATGTACATGATCTTGGGCCTTGAATCAATGATTGGGCATTAGGATAAAATTATATGTTCAGTGATAGTAAGGTCATATGACGGTACACAAACACATGAATTTTGTTTCCATCAACAAAGGAAATACCCTGATATGAAACAATAAATAAATGACATTTCAGCAGATCTTGTATGCATCCATTTTGTTTAATCAATACTGTACCTCATTAGGGGTGACAACTTTGAGTTTCTCTGCAACTTGTGCAAAGGTTTCATCGCCTGGACCATTCTTCTTACACATCTCCAGGCAAACTTTGTCCATGTCCCTGAAAGAAATGATAGAAGTAACATCACATTGTTACGAAGGTGAGAGGCGGTGAAACGTGCATGCACATGCGTGTGTGTGAGACTGCTTGTACAAGTCCACACTTACGCATCTTCCCGAGGCAAGGGAGTTAACTGACTATAAAAGTCCAGTTTCCACCCTTGCCGAACTAGGCTGGAATTCCTGGGCTCAAACCGTAGCGCCACCAGTGGTTATTACGAGTTATGTTCCTTCTAAGCCTCTCCTATGGACCAATCAGATTCCACCTCTCATATCACTTGCATTTGATTCAAACAAAATGGTGGCGCCCAGTCAAAACGATCTGATTGATAATCAAGATCTATATTGTGATAAAACGGGTCTTACATAGCGAAGTGCATCAAATTACGTGAGCACCTTGATTAAAAACATGAAAAGACTTGGAAAATATCTGTTGACCACGAGTTGGCGGTGCACATGCTTTGCAAATCCTGCAATCGACAGAAATCTGCACGACATTTTACAAACGGATATCAATTTTGGTGCGCGATTTTGATTGGACTATGCATAGACTCGTTAGCCCAGCCAAAATGTAACTCCATAATACCTGCCTAGTTCGGCAAGGGTGGAAACTGGACTTTTATAGTCAGTTAACTCACTTGCCTCGGGAAGATGGACTTACGCCGGTTTTATAGAGCTAGTCCACTGAGATACCATGCCACAGTTTAAAAAGGGCCATGAAGATCAAAACAATTTGTACCAACTCTGGTGATGCTGCCAGGGGATCAAACTACCGACAGGCATTCTACCCTCTAGACCACAAGGGAAGTCTTCTCATAAAGAAGGAATAACAGACAATTACACTTATATCTGATGCTGAAGAACACAGCTCAATGAAAGCCAGTGAACTTGAACAACAAGAATTATATTGTCATGATACCTTAACTATTAGGCAGTTTGGCAAGGACGAGAGGACTAGTTCCAATTTCTATCGCTGGTGATGTCAACCTGTACACATGGCAAATAATCTGGTCAAGGTTGGCTGGCAAAGCCTTCAGGGAATGACACTCAATCGGCCAGATCACACATTGTCACCATTAATTTTTATATATCATCTTTTATGGCAAACATACAGTACTGCGGACCTACTCTGCCCCAAATCTGTCCCCGGAACTACCGTAGTCGTAAGAGACCTGGAACCTGTGGGGATTCCGGGTTACAAATGGTCCAAAGCTACCTATGCTTGAAGTAAGGGGCGAAAAAATGAATCATGTTGTCAGGCTCAGTGACTTGGTTCATGTCATGTCAACAAACCTTGATGACTTATAATATGACAAAGATGCCAACCCTAATTGAAGCTTTGGAGTAATCAGTGGAGAAAAAAATCGTAATTTCATATGGGAAAAAAGTAATCTTAAGAGTACCATGCCATTGTGCTGTTTTTTGTTTAAACATTTTCGTTAGGTCTATACGTACGTGAAGCATAGGTACACATGCATTGACGCTAGTACTGTAGCTGCACATGTAAACCACACTTTTTTTATAAATAGGGCAATAAAGCTCAAAATAAGCAGAAAAAATGACTCCACTTGAGTTTGTATGGTTAAATATCACCAAACCTCGAAACTGAATATCAATCCAAACATAAAAAAATATGGACATCAACATAAAGTACTCAAAGAGAAGTTCCACAATGGCATGTGACAACCTAATCAGTGACATACATTGGGCCCACATTTCAGACAAACACGTATTTTGAATAACTTTGGTAATTATATATAGATTATTAATCACTCACGAAAGCATTTAATTCAAGGTATCGTGCATTAACCATTTGCTCTTTGTGATATTTTATACATGTAAATAATTTGTCAAAAAAATATCAAAAGCGTAATAGTGTAATTTTAGGTTCTAAAGCATAATTATTACGCAAAAAAGAGCAATGGTTGGCATCTCTTATATCATACTCCAGACTTGGTTATTTACGTTTGCCCTCATAAAGCTGAAATATTGCAGAGTATGGCTCTAAACAACAAACAACCAAACATCTGATTTCGTAACGTTTCAAATTTTACTTTTTTCTTACCAACTACTACTCACTTTGTCCAATCCACCTCGGTCTCCTCTTCCTCCTCCCACTCCATCGGTTCATCTGTAACAGGACCTGTCTGAGGTGTTGATGACACTGCACTGCCCACTGGTCCAAGCTGTGGGACATCATTGTCTCTCCCCTCAGTCAAAGCCTGGGGTTCATGTGCCCCCCAAACGTATTCGCTCTTCACAACAGCACTTGTTTCTCTGGAGACTGCTGCCTGGCTCGGTGGAAGGACCGATTCACCCACAGTGGGGTTATTCACCACCGGATAACTTAGAGAAGATGCACCAGACACGCCAAGAGTCTGTAGTTCACCCTCACTACGGTCCATTCCCAGTGGAAAGGATTGTGCCCTTATGCCACTGCGTTCTGTACTGGGAGACTGTATTAGTGTCACTGGTATTCCGTCAACAGTCGTTACAACAGAGTTTCCAAATCCACCTGACTGTCCTCCAATATTATTATTCTGGTGAGTACTTGAACCACCTTGTAGATCATCTGGCTTGTGGATGATGCCAGCTTTGACTAAATGTTCCTTCAACGATATAACACTCTGTTGGGTCACTTCGCTTGAAACAGGCATATTTTTCACAGGGGAATTATTTCTTGATCCAAATGTTTTGAAATTGCCAGCCAAGAAGTTGTTCATGAAGTCCATGGACATTGATATTTCTGCATCACTTCTACTTATCTCTGCTGTTTTCATTGCCTTGGCAAGAATGTCTGACATACAACTCTGTGAAGCATCCCCTTGCATAGATTGGCCATCAAACATTTCCAGGATGGACATTCCGAAGCCTGTTCCAGACACGCTGCCACCGTCAGAGGCTTGGACTTGTGCTGATGTTGCCGTGCAGGACGATGTGTTGGCTGCAGAAGCTGTCGGCGTTGGCATCTGTTTGCCACTGTTCAGTGTGATGGCATCTGCATGAGATACGCCGACTGGCATCAGATTAGGGAAACTCACAGCTCCCTTGGACCTTCCTGCCTCAAAACTTGGTAATGATGCTGCTTCCCTAGGAATCTTACTCTCCTTTACTGAAGGAACAGATGACCCAGACAGTGCTGAGATTGAGGAACCTATGGTTAATGTCGTTGCACTTTTCACAGCTCCACTGGATCTCCCAGAAGTCTGAGTCACCCCAATAGAGATCTGTGTGACATTAGGACTAGAGGGACCCTTTGATGGAGACAGCTTTACAAATCCACCTGTTTGCCCTGCTGGCTTGATTGTATTGGGTGGTGCAATCTCAATGAGTCTGTCGGACCCTGGGACCTGTGTTGAGGGGGTGGTGACAGAGGGGGGGACCAGGGTCAGAATACTGGGACACACAGCTGTAACTGTAGCACTAGAGGTGAACACAGGACTAAAGGAGGTGAACATGACTGGACAGGATGTCACAGGAGTTGGGGAGTCGCCATTCTGATCCTGCAGTATCTGGTCCTGCATGATCACTGGAGGGTTGACGATGAGGTCATCGGGCACAGTGACAACATATTCGGATGTCCGTGTGGCGGAAGTCTTTTCACGGAACTTCCTTGTTCTTGTCATGACACCTGTGTCAGAATGAGCACTTCCTGCCACCTCAGCGGCAACATCTGAGTCGCAGCTTGTCACCGGCTCCTGTTTCACCGGCTCCTGTTTCACCGGGGAGTATCCTATCTCATTGAGGGACAGAAACCTCTTCTGGCCAGCCTTCTGACGACAGATCTTCAACTGAAATAGCAGGTTCATTTCATAAGTTATAAGATAAAATGTACAATGGCATGTCTGAAAACAGTAAATCAGTTATTAGGAGTACAGCATCACTTCAAGCAGCAGTTGCCAGCTGTTGCAGTCAATGTTTTGTAAATTTTGTAAGCATGGTTCCTTGCGTGAAAATAATATTCACACTTTTCGCTCATTGGAGAGAAAACTAGGCTACTCTTCTGCCCAGGATCCTGTTTCACAAAGACATTGCAGTGTTACATTGTAGATTTGTTGCAACTCCCATAGTAACACTGATAAAAGTCATAGCTAGAATCCCTCGGTGAAACAGGCCCTTGGTTACCAAGACAGACTGAGACTGTACAATAAACCAATCTCACTTTGATCTTCTTTGCCCTGGCCGGCGAGGAGTGACTGACTGATGGGGACACAATGGTTGGCCGACTGCTGAGACAGTTGTGGTTCTCCTTGTCTGCGGTCTGGTCTTCCTCCAGCTCCAGGGAGGTGCTGGTATGGGGAGAGGGGGGCATAGCCTTGTGGACGACCACTTCAGCTGGGTGCAGCTTCTTGCTGCTAGGTTGGAAGTATAGCTTCCCATCAATCACCTGCAACAAATTACCTCGTCAATATACAATGTTCTGAGATCAATCTAGGAATTCTACATAAGTGCCTGTGGCCATTAAACTGCAAAAGAACATTATGTTGTCCCAAACTGAGAACTTTAAAGGACTTGTCTCCATAAATAATGTATCAGAGCATGGTGTATTGATATAGATATAGAACTTCCTTTGAATGAGGACCCGAGGCAGGCAAGAGACTTTATTTCTCTCCTTGTTATACTACATCTGAGGCAGGCAAGAGACTTTATTTCTCTCCTTGTTATACTACATCTGAGGCAGGCAAGAGACTTTATTTCTCTCCTTGTTATACTACATCTGAGACAGGCAAGAGACTTTATTTCTCTCCTTGTTATACTACATCCGAGGCAGGCAAGAGACTTTATTTCTCTCCTTGTTATACTACATCCGAGGCAGGCAAGAGACTTTATTTCTCTCCTTGTTATACTACATCCGAGACAGGCAAGAGACTTTATTTCTCTCCTTGTTATACTACATCTGAGGCAGGCAAGAGACTTTATTTCTCTCCTTGTTATACTACATCTGAGGCAGGCAAGAGACTTTATTTCTCTCCTTGTTATACTACATCTGAGGCAGGCAAGAGACTTTATTTCTCTCCTTGTTATACTACATCTGAGGCAGGCAAGAGACTTTATTTCTCTCCTTGTTATACTACATCTGAGACAGGCAAGCTTTGGATCGCAGAGGGCATGTGAGGAAACATCACTGCTCAAGGATCACAAAGGTGATCATTTCAGGTTGTAACACATTAACAGGGATGTGAGCAGGTTTTGCCCAAAAGAGAGGAAAACTCTAACTTCCTCCCCCTTCCCCCCGACACAAGGACAACTGTCACAAGCGTGCAATGTCTGACCCTTTCCACATGTTGAAGCATATTGAAAAAAACTTACCTTGTACTTACCTTACCTTGTACAAAACAACATTGCAAACATTAGACATTAATACAACATATATCCCCTGAAGGACGCTGAAGAAATATTCATAGTTTTCTCGCTAATCACATGAACAACTGTAAAACATCTCATTCACTTATGGGCTAAAAGACAATTTTATCTTAAAAACAAGCCATCTTCTGAGTATTTACAATTTCTGTGAGACACCACACCCCACGTTATAGTGCAAGTATTCGTGATATAAAACGCATGTGTCATAAATAATAGTAAAGGCATATATGATGCTGAAAGCTCTGATCGAAAACAGGACAATCCGCGACGGTCGGCCAGAAACGAGATAATATTTTTCGGAAAATAATTTCAAATCTTTGATTATATTTTTACAAGGAAGACGATTTTTTTCGAGGACTACTGTTTTAAAAAACATGATTTTCCACGTTTCCGCTGAGATTTAACATCCCTGCATTATATATACAATCCCTCCTCAGTCTCTCCATCCTTTACAGTTGGTTGCATTTGAATGATATGTGAGTGAACTTTATTTCCCATTTGGGAATTTGGGAAATTTTACTTTTAATTGCTGCAGACTTGGAGGCCTCTGAGCAGGTGTAAATAAATCATTTTACAGACCTAACAGTAGATTACGTACCTTGAGACAACAGTTGAAGCAATGTCTGATGCGTTTGTGCAGCTTTATGTCATTGGGATCGTCGTGACAGTCACACGGACAGCAATTGGTGCGGTACGGGTCCACCTCACTTGGCATGACGACGTCTTCGAAACTGTCCACACTCGCATCCTCATCCAAGTCACTATCACCAAGGGTCACCATCTCAAAGCTGTCCATGTAGCTGCCAACACACATTGTTTTCCACCTCAACACAACACTACAAGATGCTGGTCATAAACATAAGATTAAGGAATTTTTCATACTTATGAAATATGTGAACAGTATAAGAGAAAATGTTCTCAAATATATTTCAATCTTATTCAACATACAGTACCTGTCTAACCTACACTAAACACCCCTAGTGTTCACGAGGAGATGGATACAGTACATGTCTAACCTACACTAAACACCCCTAGTGTTCACGAGGAGACGGATACAGTACATGTCTAACCTACACTAACCTCCCCTAGTGTTCACGAGATGGATACAGTACATGTCTAACCTACACAAAACACCCCTAGTGTTCACGAGATGGATACAGTACATGTCTAACCTACACTAAACACCCCTAGTGTTCACGAGGAGATGGATACAGTACATGTCTAACCTACACTAAACTCCCCTAGTGTTCACGAGGAGATGGATACAGTACATGTCTAACCTACACTAAACACCCCTAGTGTTCACGAGGAGATGGATACAGTACATGTCTAACCTACACTAACCTCCCCTAGTGTTCACGAGGAGATGGATACAGTACATGTCTAACCTACACTAAACACCCCTAGTGTTCACGAGGAGATGGATACAGTACATGTCTAACCTACACTAACCTCCCCTAGTGTTCACGAGGAGATGGATACAATACATGTCTAACCTTCACTAAACACCCCTAGTGTTCACGAGGAGATGGATACAGTACATGTCTAACCTACACTAAACACCCCTAGTGTTCACGAGATGGATACAGTACATGTCTAACCTACACTAAACACCCCTAGTGTTCACGAGGAGATGGATACAGTACCTGTCTAACCTACACTAAACACCCCTAGTGTTCACGAGGAGATGGATACAGTACATGTCTAACCTACACTAAACACCCCTAGTGTTCACGAGGAGATGGAAACAGTACATGTCTAACCTACACTAAACATCCCTAGTGTTCACGAGGAGATGGATACAGTACATGTCTAACCTACACTAAACACCCCTAGTGTTCACGAGGAGATGGATACAGTACCTGTCTAACCTACACTAAACACCCCTAGTGTTCACGAGGAGATGGAAACAGTACATGTCTAACCTACACTAAACACCCCTAGTGTTCACGAGGAGATGGATACAGTACATGTCTAACCTACACTAAACACCCCCAGTGTTCACGAGGAGATGGATACAGTACCTGTCTAACCTACACTAAACACCCCTAGTGTTCACGAGGAGATGGATACAGTACATGTCTGACCTACACTAAACACCCCTAGTGTTCACGAGGAGATGGATACAGTACATGTCTAACCTACACAAAACACCCCTAGTGTTCACGAGGAGATGGATACAGTATGTGTCTAACCTACACTAAACACCCCTAGTGTTCACGAGGAGATGGATACAGTACATGTCTAACCTACACTAAACACCCCTAGTGTTCACGAGGAGATGGATACAGTACATGTCTAACCTACACTAAACTCCCCTAGTGTTCACGAGGAGATGGATACAGTATGTGTCTAACCTACACTAAACACCCCTAGCGTTCACGAGGAGATGGATACAGTACATGTCTAACCTACACTAAACACCCCTAGTCTTCACGAGGAGATGGATACAGTACCTGTCTAACCTACACTAAACACCCCTAGTGTTCACGAGGAGATGGATCCAGTACATGTCTAACCTACACTAAACACCCCTAGTCTTCACGAGGAGATGGATACAGTATGTGTCTAACCTACACTAACCTCCCCTAGTGTTCACGAGGAGATGGATACAGTACCTGTCTGGTGGCTTGTCTTCGGGGAAGAACACGGAGAACTCCTCCTGAAGATGAGGCATTCCTCGAATGAGGGGCTTAATGAGGTCTCGCAGATCGTCGGGAGATCGCTTGGGGTTCTGGTACCACTGGGACAGAGTCTTGAGAACTCGCTGGAAGTGATGCGGCTGCTGCTCGTAGTTCACCTGCAGACAGTCACAGTGTTTCGCATCATCAATACCTTACCTTATTCCAGCTATTAAGCGGGGTCTGTAAATAATCAAATCTGGACCAGACAATCCAGTGACTGACATCATTAGCATCGATCTATGCGATTGGGATACCAAGACATGCATGAAACAAGTCAGCGGGCCTGACCGCTCAATCCTGATGCGACAAGCATAAATTAGCGCTCATAATAAGGTAATGAACCTTGTTCAGCAATGTTTGCAACATGTGGTATAGCCCTTTATCTATCTCCTTTATGCTTTTCTACTGTCAACATCTTCAACGGTGTTAACTGACTATAAAAGTACAGTTTCCACTAGGCTGAAATTTCTGGGCTCGATCTTTGCGACATCAGTGGCTATTACAAGTTATGTCCCTTCTATGTCCCTCCTATTGACTAATCAGATTCCACTTCTGACATCTGACCCAGTTGATCTGCATAATCTATGCAGTCGGCAACAACATAGGGGAAGGTTGACGTTTCTATAACTTCCGAAGACAATTTCAGCGGAACAAATATCTCAGTCAATTCACTAATCTGAACAGCTACAGTGCATGTGTTGAGTTGATTTGACACATTGATGCATTTATATACTCTGCACAGCGAATCGGGGGCCAAAGATGACTGGGCCACCCGTGCCCCCCTTTCTATTAAGAAGTGAGTGGGCAACAAGCTTTGTTTCTTGTTTTACTTTTCACTCAGCAATATTAAACCTATATGATGTCGGGCTGAAATTCATTGGGTCTGTACTGACAATCCATTGATTAACATCATGAGCAACAATGGCATGAGATCAACCAAGTCCTCAAGACTGACAACCAAACCATTGCTCGCCTCTTACAACCATCATAGGTTGTTGGGGACAAAGTATATAACAGTATACCGCAATAAGCTTTTCAAATGATACATCTTGCAATTTTGTCCAGAGTTCCAGTATATTGGGTAAAACATATATATGACAAGTTTCATTATTAATTGAATCATTTAACCTGAAATCTACACAGAAATTCATACACAAATGATGTTTCCCTTCAAAATTGATTGACAAAATGACACAATGCAGATGTGCTTTTTTCCCATGTCAGTGGCAACTGACCATGCTGACTTTAACAACGTAACATTTACTTTTGTATGTATAAAAAAAAGGATCAAATACCTTAGCTCCCAGTATATCCCAACACATGTCCTAAAACAGATACCTGTATCACTATAAATTGCAATACAATTGTTTTTTCAATATTCAGCACTACCATCCTTTCACCAGACATAAATTGTCATCAAACAGTAGGATGTCCTTATGATCATGCTAATATGTTCCTATCTAGCTGTGGGTACCTCCAGCTTCCTGAGGAGTGTCCTGGCCTTGGTGACCTCCTGGTTCTGCATGAAGCAGCCACACATCAGGGCCTGTTCCGGGAGGAGGAACCCCGCGAAGTCCCCCAGCAGCTCGGGGAAGTCCTTCAACAGCTGGCTCAGCCTCTTGTACACCTGGAGGAGAGAAAACCACCATTTTGTACAAAGGATCTATATTTTCACTTTGCATTTTAAATTGACGTACACAAGTAGAAACAGTGTTCAAAGTACCTGCCTCCCCGACAGTCCGAGATATTCTGTTTTGCTGACGGATGGTCAGTTTTCGAAAGTTGCATGAGCGATGGTCTGGAGTTAAAGTTACTAAGTTGCCAATCCACCATTTTATTGTTATCTTCTGAGAACTAACATTAAACAGTACTATTCTTTGGTTTACTCTTTTGTTACTTTTGTTTGTTAGCCTAGAAAATTCTGCACTGGCAACATTTTGGTTATCTCCAGTTAGTTACACGTCCCATTTGTCACACACTTCTATATTCCCAGTTGTTACACAGTGTGGGAGGAGGCCAGACAATCCACACGCATGAGTTGTACAACCAGGGAAGTGCTCAACAAGATCAGGCAACTACTGTGCTACTGCCCTCCTTCACCAATGGGAGCAGTTCACTATACAGGCATCGTCAGAAGACCATTCCAGTGCTGCCACAGGCCAGAGCTAAGGTGGATCTGACTGAGGATTGGACAAAGGCCATGGACGGCCAACCCTTCCTTCTGTTCAGCGACGGGGAAGACAATAAAACCTGGCTTTCTCAACACTTAAATGGGCTATATAGTGGGAACTGGGTTGACTTCGAAGACAGATTTCCCCTTCATCTTTGGAACCATCACTAGATAACAGGACCGCGCACCAACAACGATCTAGAGGGATTTCACAACTGACTCAATCGAGAACTACCCCATGACCATCCGAACATCTACCGCTTCATTGAAGTTATCCAGAGAATCGAGAGGGCTGACCGGGCTGAGGTGTCCGAGATTGATTTTCTTATCTTATATAAGTATGTAATGTTTATAAAGTACAAGATTACTTTTCTACATTATCTTATATAAGTACTTAAAGTTTAAAAAGTACAAGATTACTTTTCCACTTTTCTTGGATCAGTCCATTTTAATACTTAGGTAACATGGTAACATTCAGCCATGACCTATGTTGTTTTGAGGTGTGTGACAAATGGGGTGTGTAACTAATGGGAGGGTACCAACATTTTATCTGGTCTGGTAACCATGGTAACTTGTCTGGTTTTCTGACTGAAATGTTGGGGAATTTTATACACTGGTGGAAACAACATTTAGGTAGTGATATCTTGTAAATATCCTGCAATTAGCATGATTACATGAAAAAGTTAGCCTGCAAAAGTTTCAGTCAATTTAAAGAAAGTAGTTTTTTCAATGAGGTATTTTTTTATAATTTCAAAATAGTGATAATAGTCAACCTGGTCATCAAATTAATATATTGTCATGACTTCAGGCAATTTGAAGTCAAATATGTAGACAGTGTACGACAGAAAACCGCCTCTTCAAATCAGGTCAGCTAAAAATGATTCATGGCTATTTTTACCATTACATTCTTAACACGCCTTAAGAAACTTCATCTCATCTTGATAAGAACGTTTATTGAGATAAAGACTTGAACAGCATATTACCATGCAGCAGCTATCACATACAGAGATATGGGCAGCCCATGATACAACGACCCTCGATGGACAGGTGCATCGGATATAACAAAGGATAGGGCAACCCTGGATACAACCCTCGATGGACAGGTACATCGGATATAACAAAGGATAGGGCAACCCTGGATACGACCCTCGATGGACAGGTACATCGGATATAACAAAGGATACAGGCAACCCTGGATACAACGACCCTCGATGGACAGGTACATCGGATATAACAAAGGATATGGCAACCCTGGATACGACCCTCGATGGACAGGTACATCGGATATAACAAAGGATACAGGCAACCCTGGATACAATGACCCTCGATGGACAGGTACATTGGATATAACAAAGGATGGGGCAACCCTGGATACGACCCTCGATGGACAGGTACATCAGATATAACAAAGGATACAGGCAACCCTGGATACGACCCTCGATGGACAGGTACAACGGATATAACAAAGGATATGGCAACCCTGGATACGACCCTCGATGGACAGGTACATCGGATAAAACAAAGGATAAGGCAACCCTGGATACAATGACCCTCGATGGACAGGTATATCGGATATAACAAAGGATGGGGCAACCCTGGATACGACCGTCGATGGACAGGTACATCGGATATAACAAAGGATAGGGCAACCCTGGATACGACCCTCGATGGACAGGTACATCGGATATAACAAAGGATAAGGCAACCCTGGGTACGACCCTCGATGGACAGGTACATCGGATATAACAAAGGATAGGGTAACCCTGGATACAATGACCCTCGATGGACAAGTACATCCGATTTAATGAAGGATACAGGCAACCCTGGATAAAACAACCCTCGATGGACAGGTACATCGGATATAACAAAGGATAGGGCAACCCTGGATACGACCCTCGATGGACAGGTACATCGGATGTAACAAAGGATACAGGCAACCCTTGATACAACGACCCCAGATGGACAGGTACATCGGATATAACAAAAGATACAGGCAACCCTGGATACGACCCTCGATGGACAGGTACATCGGATACAACAAAGGATAGGGGCAACCCTGGATACAATGACCCTCGATGGACAGGTACATCAGATACAACAAAGGATACCGGCAACCCTGGACACAACGTCCCTCAATGGACAGGTACATCGGATGTAACGAAGGATACCGGCAACCCTGGACACAACGTCCCTCAATGGACAGGTACATCGGATGTAACGAAGGATACCGGCAACCCTGGACACAACGTCCCTCAATGGACAGGTACATCGGATGTAACGAAGGGTATAGGCAACCCTGGATACAACGTCCCTCAATGGACAGGTACATCGGATGTAACGAAGGATACCGGCAACCCTGGACACAATGTCCCTCAATGGACAGGTACATCGGATGTAACGAAGGGTATAGGCAACCCTGGATACAACGACCCTCAATGGACAGGTACATCGTATATAACAATGGATACAGGCAACCCTGGATACGACAGGACAGGTACATGGGATATAATGAGGAAGTACTGGGGATATAATGAGGAAGTACTGGGAATATAATGAGGAAGTACATGGATATAACAGGGTTAGAAACTAACAGTTATTATCCACTAGTCCTTATAATGATAACATATAGGAAAACCCTTAAAATGGGCCAATTTCTACTAGTCCTTAGGATACCTTTACTTTTGGGCAGTTTGGTAAGGACTACAGGACTAGTTCTAATTTCTAATGCTGTATAATGAGGAAGTACTAGGGGAAGTACTAGGGATATAATGAGGAAGTACTGGGGATATAATGAGGAAGTGCATGGAAATAATGAGGAAGTACTAGGGGAAGTACTGGGGATATAATGAGGAAGTACTAGGGATATAATGGGGATATAATGAGGAAGCACTAGGGGAAGTACTGGGGAAGTACTGGGGATATAATGAGGAAGTACTGGGGAAGTACTGGGGATATAATGAGGAAATACTAGGGATATGATGGGGATATAATGAGGAAGCACTAGGGGAAGTACTGGGGATATAATGAGGAAGTACTAGGGATATAATGGGGATATAATGAGGAAGCACTAGGAGAAGTACTGGGGATATAATGAGGAAGTACTGGGGATATAATGAGGAAGTACTGGGGATATAATGAGGAAGTACTGGGGATATAATGAGGAAGTACTGGGGATATAATGAGGAAGTACATGGATATAATGAGGAGGCAAACCCTTGATACGACCCTGATGGACAGGTATATTGGATACAACAAAGGATACAGGCAAACCTGGATACAAAGACCCTCAATGGACAGATACATGGGATATAATGTGATAGTACATGGAGATATAACAGCGAGGCAAACCCTTGATACAATGCCCTGGGATTGGCAGATACATAAGTTATGGCAATGGCAATCTCAAATTCTAATCTAAACACATCCCTGTCATCGAGATATTGGAAATCTAATAGAGAAACACTAGGATGCTCAACGTTTACCATGGCTACCATGGCGACCTCGACCCTTTGATTTACGAGATATGAGCAGTATAACTGACAAGTCAGCTGCTAAATATAATAATGTTAAGTTAATATCCAAGTTACAACACATTTGATTCAGCTTTTATTGGTTGAGACTGAAATGTTACTGCTATCCCCCACCATTGAGCACATTACACTCTAAAGAGTCCTATAAAGCCTGAAGAATAGATAGGCAATAGGGTTGATTTTTGTCATCAGAAAAAATGACTAAATGTAAAATCAATACACACAAAAGGCACCTTCTCTGGAAAAAATGATTTATGGCACAATTCTCGAACTCAGTCTTGATAAGTATCTCTTAGACAAGCTAACTTCAGTTGTTTCTAAAAAACGAGTCCCCATTGCAGACACTATGCACTTTAGTTGAAAAGCACAGAGCAAGGGCCATAACTCGGCATAATTTACACCACCAATTTTCGAACTCTGTCTTGGCAAGTATCTCTAATATATAAGCATGCAAACTTTCATTCATGTAATTTCAGTAGTTTCTGAGACGCCCAATGCACGAAATTAAAAAGAACGGAGCAAGGGCCAAACTCTGTAAAAAATGAATTTAAGACACCAACTATCAAACCAGTAATATCAATGTGTAAAATTTCATTTCTCTAACTTAAATAGTTTTTGAGACACTTTGTCCCATTTGAGAATGGACAAACTCCATTCCTATATCCTCTGCTACACTTCAATGTGGGGGATAAAAATGCACCTTGCAGAACCATTCCTCACTGCACCGGCCTTCCACCATGTTTCTTTATTTCTGAGTATTCCTTCTTGTAGAAGAAACGACAACAAAAACTTATCAAATTGGATATAAAACCAAATTTGTTGAAAACAATATGATGACAACAACTGTCATGAGGAGAATATGGGATGTACAAATTACCAACATGAAGTTGAACAGAAGCTGTCTTTTGTCCATACACTTTAAACAAGAACTTCCTAAATTTCAGACAAAACTACTTTTTCTTTTACATGAAAATATGCCAGTGATTTCTACATATTCTAATCAATAGAATTTCTGTGTTCAATTCCACTTGTACCACAAACAAAGGAAGAGGTTGGCGCAGTGGTAAGATAAGCATGTGATAAGAGCTTTCTTCAACTGGAAATGTCAAATATTTAAGTTACGCCTAACCAATACATTACGCATTGTTTAAAGTCCCTAACAATTGTGAAAAGTAACAACTTCAATTCTAATTCATATGGCCAAATCTCCTGATCTTGAGGGCCAATGATATGGGAGTTTTTCAGACCATGTCCTTTAACTTTTCATACTAAAACATATTTGTGACCTAATTACAGCATAATGCCACTCCACATCAGCTGACTGGACAGGTGGAACTTGGCTCTCACCAGTTATAGTATAACTGACCCAACCAGCCCATGAAGGGTTCTCAAACAGTCATAAATAATTGTGTCAACAAAACCAAGATGGGAAGAAAGCATATTTACTGATACTGCTGATATCAAGTGGGCCACGCTGTATTATTAGTCAGCATTGAACAAGTGGACCACTTGCTGTCTGTCACATTCTGTTTTATGCTCCATCTGGTTCCTATGACACACAAACCTTAAGCCACTTCTGACTTTAACACTTTTGAGGTCCCAAAATACTGCAATGACTCGGCTGATTCAATGTGAACCAAGTATGTCATCAAGTTTTGATAAGAACTACTTATGCCATGGTTACCATTAATAATTAATTATGTATGTTCAACACATCATGATTAGGCCTAATATAAATAATGTTGAGGCTCCGATTACATTAATTTCAAAAGAGAGTAGATCATATCGATAGGTAGGCTCTTATTTTATTCTAATTTTTCAGAAAGTCTGCAACTATGATGGAGATCGACTGTAAAGTTACATATATATTTCCATGAATGCTTTTGTTTGTCGCAAACGGAAAATACAACTGAAAAAATGTTATGGTTGGCAACATAAAAATTGGGGTTTCCCCTGATTCAAATTCTATGACTGTAGCAGCAAAATCCAGATCCTCATTAATTTTTAAACCTTGCAATGTACTGCAATATCTAGCAATCCAAAGCCAAATTATCACAAAACCGCTACCAAACGTTTAATAATCAACATACACCCCTACATGAGCTGTTTGATTTGAAGAAGGTGGTAAGTAGCAGTAAAGACTAGATACTTTATGGATGACAACTTCTTTATTCCATTAGACCCCTAAATGGCTGTCTGACATGTTGCACAGCGATAGAAACTAACAGTTTTAGTCCACTAGTCCTTATAAAGAAAACATATAGCTAACCCTTAAAAAGGGCAAATTTCTAATTATTGAGCAGTTTGGCAACGACTACAGGACTAGTGCCAATTTCTAATGCTGCTGCACCAAGGTAAATGGCTTCAGCTTGAGCAGGTGCTTCCTGCCTAGGTGGTGGGAGTTGATGGGTTAACTCTCCTCCTGACCTAGCCACGTGAACAGTGAGGAGACCACTCACGCCAGCTGTCTTTCACCTGCCAGTCCTCACGATGTTGCTCCATACAGACATAACGCTCGGAGACAGTCAAATCTCTAGCTGTGAGTACGAGTAGTCGCTTACATAACTCACAGAGCTTGTATGCTGTATGTTCTCAAGGAGTGGCGATCTGTGTTTCGTGTTAATGTGTATATCCAGGAGGATTATGAACCAGAGAGACGTTTGTGATCATCTTGATGTCTTGGATCACGTCCATACACATCTTGATACTGGGTAAAATCGGTGCCACCATTTCCACCATCCAATCATAAACGTGAGCTATCGTGTCAACTCAACAATGGCAGGGAACTCAACACAAGAAATGACAACAGTAATGTTTGATTTGGACATGACGGAGAACGGTACAAACTCAACTCTCAATGGCACAGATGGAGGTATTCGTCCACCAATGCCATCCTTTGATCTGGAAACTATTCTCAACTCGTATGTAGAGTACCGATGGTCGAGATACCTTGGTATCTACTGTTACCCTATTCTTGTTGTGCTTGGAACTATAGGCAATGTGCTAAGTTTTATTGTGATGACTAGGAAAACGATGCTGAGATCGTCCACCTGCTACTACATGGCCGTGTTGGCAGTTGCCGATACTATGGTTCTGTATTTCGGTTGTCTCCGGAAGTGGTTCGCTTACCTCACTGGATGGGATGCTCTCATACTGAGTCCAGCAGCTTGCAAAATATTCAACTTTCTCACGTACTGGAGTTTTGACTTTGCAGCTTGGATACTGGTTGCCATGACAGTGGAACGCTACATTGCCATACACTTTCCATTCACTGTAACTAAACATGCAACTATCCCCCGAGCTAAAGTTGTGTCCATTTTTCTCGGAGTGATTTTCGTGGGGATCAACGCTCACTTCTTTGCAACAGTGACCATCAGTGATAGGGGATACTGCAGCTCTCAGGAAGAATACATCCGATTCAATGATTATGTGTTTCCATGGATAGATGCAGCCTTGTACTCCTTCATTCCCTTCATCGTTCTGCTTGTGTTCAACATCCTTATCATCCTCGACAGCAGGAAAGCCATTAAGCGACAACAAACTCTTCAAGCATCATCACTGAATAACACAAATACCTTTACCATCCGTTCAAACTCACGTCTAACGGTGATGCTTCTGTCAGTGTCCTTGACCTTCCTTGTGGCCTCTGCACCAAAAGCTGCTCTAATTATCATAAAGCCGTACACTTTCGACTTCTACGATGGCCCTTTGGTTGACTTCCATCTACTATCGAAGTACACGCTGACGGCTTCGGTGATGAACTTCTTAACGTATGGCAACCATGCCATAAACTTCTTACTGTACTGCATCAATGGACAGAAGTTCCGCAGCGAGTTGAAACGACTCATATATGTGTGCACTCACAGGAAACAACGAAGAAGAATAGCCTCACTGCAGATTGAGATGGGGGATGGTGTCAGAAGGAACTCGACTTGCACTGACTTGGTCATGAAGTCAATGCCTGACTCAATCACAACCATTAGGGATCCTCAAGTCAGTGAACCATAAAGTTAAACACATGGGACATAAAAGGGGATCAAGTGTGAAATCAGCTTCACTAGAAGCACTTATAAAATCTCCAATATGATCAAGGTGACAAATATTTGTTCAACCCAACTGGATGACAACAAATGTGACCAAAAGGTGATCAGGTGCAAAAAATCAGACACACTAGAAGCACTCACAAACTCAATATGATCAAGGTGACAAATATTCTCCACCCAACCGTTACACTGGATCATAACACAAGGATACAGACATGTGATGAAAAGGTGATCAAGTGCAAAATCAGGTTCACCTGAAACATTCATAAAATCTCCAACATCATCAAGGTGACATTTGCCAAGGACACCACCGAACTCAGAACTACTTTACTGTGGTGAGACAATGTAATGTGGGTTACAGCACCAGAGCAGTAAGATTACTGTGGAATGAGACCTTGATCCTGTTTGTTTGTTGTTTAACACCGCACTCAGCAATATTCCAGCTACATGATGGAGGTCTGTAAATAATCGAGTCTGGACAGACAATCCACTGATTGATATAATGAGCATCGATCCACGCAATTGGGATACGATGACATGCATCAGCTAAGTCAGTGAGCCTGACTACCTGATCCTGTTAGTCGCCTCTTATGACAAGCATAGTCGCCTTTGTCCCATGGGTTGCTGAAGACCTATTCTAACCCGGATCTTCACGGGTCCCTCGATCCTGACAGAGACTTGTTACATAAAGCCTGATTCATGTTGTTTTTTTTTCCACAAAATATATTCAGCGAAGTCTTACTGTTAAGAAAGGTCAGGACACAGTACAAAGATATCAATGAACTTATTTTCTACTCCTGTATCATGGGCAAACCAGATGAACAAAGACAGATGATCACACTGCAGTGACTGAAAATGGCACAGTTATCGCCCTACTGTTCACACTGCTATCAAGGCATCTACATCAAAGCAATGACTTTTACCAGAATAAACGTAAGATTCATGGCACATACTTTGAGTTGTTTACTTGATATTGACAAAGTATTTCATACTGTCATACATCTGATATATGTCTTGATCTGAGATTATGTATATAGTGAACAAAAGAATTAAGGGATCAGAACATTTTGGGGATTATTTTTTATTGTGAAGACTGAGCACACAATTTCATTTAAAATATTCATTCTTTTTGTCATTATATTTGTAATCTCGGTATTTAGTATTTATAAAAAACTGTTGTCACTTTACTGTACATTCAAGATATCAAAATCTTTGTGAACGTCTTTTCATTTTATCAAGTTTTTCTGAGATAAACTTTGTCTATAATCTATGAGTAAATAAACATGTTGGTTTACATCTCATGTTGGTCAGGACAACTGTAATGCGAATCAGACAAAATGCACAGAGATCTAAAAGTGTAAGCAGTGAAAAGTATGAAGAAATTAAAAGAAATACCAGTCACATAAATATCTACTTAACAAAAGAAAGTTGTGTTTAAGACATACCACTGATCCAATCTGTTGATGAGCAGATGGCAAAATTTTCTTCTTGTAATTCTGATGATAAATTGATTTAGTACTATTAAAGCTTCAACAGGGTTAGAAATTGGCACTAGTCCTATAGTCCTTGCCAAACTGCCCAATAGTAAAGGTATCCTAAGGACTAGTAGAATTTTGACATTTTTAAAGGTTTTGCTATATGCTATCATTATAAGGACTAGTGGACTGAAACTGTTAGTTTCTACCGCTGTTCAAGGAAGCCTACTGATACTCACCTCGATAGCTGAGAGTCCATCCTTCCCTACGTTGTACATCAGTGTGAGGAACTCCTCGTACACCTGCAGGTTCCCACTCAGACCATCACGAACCCTGTCCAGGTACGCCTGGGCGAACGCCGTGTCCTTCTCGTCTTTCTATACATGAGGAATATGTTCATTTTGTATTTAGTGATGAAACAATGAGTTCTTTAAAAATAACCCATTTGAGTATACAATCAATATCTCACTCAAGAATAAAACTGGAAATACTTTAAGCCTGCCTGAAAGACACTATGGTTGTATTTCTTGTCAAATGACATGATTATCTCAATTTGGGACCTGACAAGATGAGATAAACATGTTTTTTGACAAGGAGAGACAAATATCCTGAGTATTTTGATTAGCATTAAGCATTGTTAAGTGTGTTCAGGAATATTTTAGAATACCCTCAGATCAGACAGAAGTTGTGCTGGAGTTATCTCAAAATACCAGAGTATGTGATCAGGACAAAAAGGCTGAGAGGTTTTCTTTACATCTATATCACCTATCACCTCTATCAACAGATGCAGATTGCAGGCCATTATAACTCAACAAGGGTATGGTGGTGACAAAGGTTCAGATTTGTGGCAAATTGGGATTCAAACCACAGATCAGTGCATCCTGGCATCGAGAAAACTGTCAGTGACATTGCTTGAGACAAATATATCATCGGGACGTTTTCATGATTTTAGCTTTCGATACCATGATTTTCATGAGTTATTCTCTTACCTCGCACATGGATGTCAGATTCTGATTGACTGAGACCCATTATTTTCAATGCATGTTAGCTACATTTCTTGTTTCCCATTCAAACTGCCGAATCGTTGGCATGACATTTGCAACATGCCAACCACAACTTTGTATCTTGAATTAATGATGTAAGACACCATTCTATGGATATTTACCATATTTTCCTAACGAAAAAGACCAAGGGAAATTCTGTGGTAACTGATATTCTTACTGAATTGTTCCTAAGCATGCATATCGGTACATAACACACACCTGCAACATAATTAGGTTTGTGGCAAGTTAAATTTGTTGTCCACCGGTCCCTGAGGTGACATGGATTGATGTAGCATCTATGTTTATTACTGTTTCCCTCGCCCTTCGTGCTCGAGGACATAAACTAACATAGAGGGTATCGAGAACATAACCTAACATAGAGGGTATCGAGGACATAAACTAACATAATGGGTATTGAGAACATAACCTAACATAGAGGGTATTAGGGAACATGAACTAACATAGAGGGTATCGGGGAACATGAACTAACATAGAGGGTATTAGGGAACATGAACTAACATAGAGGGTATCGGGGAACATGAACTAACATAATGGGTATCGGGGAACATAAACTAACATAGAGGGTATCAGGGAACATGAACTAACATAGAGGGTATCGGGGAACATGAACTAACATAGAGGGTATCGGGGAACATGAACTAACATAGAGGGTATTAGGGAACATGAACTAACATAGAGGGTATCGGGGAACATGAACTAACATAATGGGTATCGGGGAACATAAACTAACATAGAGGGTATCAGGGAACATGAACTAACATAGAGGTTATCAGCATGATCAGGGAACATGAACTAACATAGAGGGTATCAGGGAACATAAACTAACATAGAGGGTATCAGGGAACATGAACTAACATAGAGGGTATCAGGGAACATGAACTAACATAGAGGGTATCAGGGAACATGATCTAACATAGAGGGTATTAGGGAACATGATCTAACAAAGAGGGTATCGGGGAACATGAACTAACATAGAGGGTATCAGGGAACATGAACTAACATAGAGGGTATCGAGGAACATGAACTAACATAGAGGGTATCGGGGAACGTAAACTAACATAGAGGGTATCGGGAATGTGAACTAACAGAGAGGGTATCGAGGAACATGAACTAACATAGAGGGTATCGGGGAACATGAACTAACATAGAGGGTATCAGGGAACATGAACTAACATAGAGGGTATCGGGGAACATGAACTAACATAATGGGTATCGGGGAACATGAACTAACATAGAGGGTATCAGGGAACATGAACTAACATAGAGGGTATCGGGGAACATAAACTAACATAGAGGGTATTAGGGAACATGAACTAACATAGAGGGTATCAGGGAACATGAACTAACATAGAGGTATCAGGGAACATGAACTAACATAGAGGGTATCAGGGAACATGAACTAACATAGAGGGTATCAGGGAACATAAACTTACATAGAGGGTATCAGGGAACATGAACTAACATAGAGGGTATCGAGGAACATGAACTAACATAGAGGGTATCGGGGAACGTAAACTAACATAGAGGGTATCGGGGAACGTGAACTAACAGAGAGGGTATCGAGGAACATGAACTAACATAGAGGGTATTAGGGAACATGAACTAACATAGAGGGTATCAGGGAACATAAACTAACAAAGAGAGTATTAGGGAACATGAACTAACATAGAGGGTATCAGGGAACATGAACTAACATAGAGGTATCAGGGAACATGAACTAACATAGAGGGTATCAGGGAACATGAACTAACATAGAGGGTATCAGGGAACATGAACTAACATAGAGGTTATCAGCATGATCAGGGAACATGAACTAACATAGAGGGTATCAGGGAACATAAACTAACATAGAGGGTATCAGGGAACATGAACTAACATAGAGGGTATCAGGGAACATGAACTAACATAGAGGGTATCAGGGAACATGATCTAACATAGAGGGTATTAGGGAACATGATCTAACATTGAGGGTACATCAACCTATGTCCCTCTTGAAACCAGTGGACAGCTAATAAGGTTAGCGAGCAAATGCATTGTAACCATGGCAACACTAACCCTTGGATCCATCTCCAAGAGATCTGGCGCCAACATGGCCAGCGTTTGTTCCTTCTTCTTCTTGCTCTTGCTCCTCTCTCGGTTTTTCTTGTGGTCAAACCTAAACAACACAATGTGTGGAATTCCATTAGAAAATACGTTTACATAATGAATTAATGTTGAAATGGATGAGGAATCTTTGATTGGTTAATCTAAAACTCAGCAGTGACTTTTAACATGGAGCCCATCTCTCTAAACTATAGCAACAGACAACCAGTCTGAAAAGACCCAAGGGAAAAAACTCTGGATACAAACTTAACATGGAGAATGAAATCAGACTATCTCACTAATTTATACGATGAATACATGGCATATGGAGAGGTCACGCTGATCACACAACAACCTGAAAGACCCAAGGGAAACAACTCTAGATACAAACTGTGAGCTCAGAATCATATGAAAATTGAGGTAATTTACTTTCTTAAAGTTTCTGATGTCAACTTCCTTAGTTATCATGGTTATCATGGTTAGGTCTGATATCAGAGTAATTCCACTAAAATTGAGGCGTCTGCTTATGCTACATGCACTATAACCTTCAGCACATTTAGTGAGCACTCATAAACATGTTTTAAAGATGTCAGCATGATAAGTATTCCATACAAACAAAACATTATTGCCCAATAATGATATCCAAGAAGTTTGCTAACTGTCCTATTGTCACTGTGAATTAGTTCAGGGAGTGAATGAACGGCTTTAAGCCACTTTCAGAAATACTCCACTTGACATGGCCCATTTTAGATATCAGCACAACAAGTTTGTTTGTTTGTTGTTTAACGCCCCACTCGACAATAGTCCAGCTATATGACGGTGGTCTGTAAATAATCAAGCCTGGACCAGACAATCAAGTGATTGATATCATGAGCATCAATCCAAGCAATTGGGATAGGATGACATGCATCAGTCAACAAGCCTGACCACCCGATCCTGTTAGTCGCCACTTACGACAAGCATAGTCACCTTCTACAGCAAGCATGCGTTGCTGAAGACCTATTTTAACCCGGATCTTCAAGGGTGTATGACAAGTGAATGACTTTACAATTGACCTGACCCTACCCTCAACAGAAAATTATCATATGCAAAACCATGTCACAGGTGCAAACCTCCTCTAAAATTATGAAAATGAGAAAGACCTATAAATATTCAAACTTTGAACAAAATTCTTTGGACTAATGACATCCAGCCTACCTGAGTGTAGTGCTAGCGGTCATCAGCATATCAAGATGGTTCTTATCTGCCGTCTGTCCGTCCTCCGCCTCATCCTCATTCTGGCTGTCTTCCTGTGACAACACTGCATCCTCCATCTCGCTCTGACCACCATCACTCTCTTCCTGCTTCCCGTCAACATCAGACATTTTCCGTTTAGGGCCTATCCTCAGTCTAGGACTATCCTCTGATCGTCTGCCTTCGTCTGTTTCGGATAAATCATCACTCTCACTGTTGGAACGTTTCAGAGAGTTATGCAGCAGCTTACGCACTGGAGTCGCCTGCTTTCGTTTTGACCGCCCGATATTTGATAAAGATTTGCTGAGAGGGCAAAGCTGCAATCTCTGAATCCTCTGCAGGTCAGTCTGAGGGAGAAGTTTACAGGGGCTAGTTCTCTGACAAATCATCTGAGCTCGTTTCCGTAAGCTCCTAGCTGCCCTCTTTGTCGGTGATTCTTTGGTATCCAACACAAATGCTTTCGGTAGAATTGTCCTGTTTCCCACCACAACTCTCTTATTCTTGGGACTTTTTGAGACTATCTTTGGGAGGAAAGGAGAAACTGGCATGGGCAGGTCACCCTCAGGCTCATTCAGCTTACACAGCGGTTTTGGTTTCAGTTCACGGAAGCCTATTTCAGACTGCCTCTTTGGTGGAGTCCTTTCTAAGCGACTCTGTTGAGCAGTCTTGGAGGTAGATGCAGGAGAGTAGTAGGGGCAGAAGGCTGCAATGATCTCTAATGGGGTCACATTGGGCGTACTGGAGAAGGAGGGGGGACCTTCAGGTGAGAGCTCATCTGCAGCTGGACCAGATGCTTTGGGAGTGTTGCCATGGTTACTTGCATCTCCAGACATGCCCATAACAACTTCTTGTTTCTGTTCTGAGCTTGTTTCAAGCTCTTCTGAACTAGTTGTTACAGGCTCCTTAGAATCTTTGTAACCAACTGAAGTTTGATCAGAGCTGCTGATGGATTGGTCCATTTTCTCGGAACCTGATGTGATCTCAAACACCTGGTCTGGCACAACCCCATGAATACTGACAGCACTTAATACTACAGGTGCCCTGTCCTCACCTGAATGAGCTGGAGCATCTGCAACACCGACTTCCTGGACTTGTCCAACACTGACTTCCTTGACATCTGCAACACTCACTTCCTTGACGTCTGCAACACTCACTTCCTTGACGTCTGCACCACTCACTTCCTCGACGTCTGCAACACTCACTTCCTTGACGTCTGCACCACTGACTTCCTCGACGTCTGCAACACTCACTTCCTTGACGTCTGCAACACTCACTTCCTTGACGTCTACACCACTCACTTCCTTGACGTCTGCACCACTCACTTCCTTGACGTCTGCACCACTCACTTCCTTGACGTCTGCAACACTCACTTCCTTGACGTCTGCACCACTCACTTCCTTGACGTCTACACCACTCACTTCCTCGACGTCTGCAACACTCACTTCATTGACGTCTGCACCAATCACTTCCTCGACGTCTGCAACACTCACTTCATTGACGTCTGCAACACTCACTTCATTGACGTCTGCACCAATCACTTCTTCGACGTCTGCAACACTCACTTCATTGACGTCTGCAACACTCACTTCATTGACGTCTGCACCAATCACTTCTTCGACGTCTGCAACACTCACTTCATTGACGTCTGCAACACCGACTTCATTGACGTCTGCAACACTGACTTCCTTGACGTCTGCAACAGTCACTTCCTTGACATCTGCAACACTCACTTCATTGACGTCTGCAACACTCACTTCATTGACGTCTGCAACACTGACTTCCTTGACGTCTGCAACAGTCACTTCATTGACATCTGAAACAGTCACTTCCTTGACGTCTGCACCACTCACTTCCTTGACGTCTGCAACTCTCACTTCACAGATATCTCCTTCACTAAGCTGAGGTTGAGTACTGTCCAAAATCACAGCAGAAGCTATTGAAGTATTGACGTCTGCTTCATTCTGCTTCTCAGATATCACTGCACTAGCAGCAACCTCCAAACTCAAGTTCACAACACTTTCCCTCTGTGATTCCTTCATGCTTGTGGCCACAGCTTGACTAGCTTGGTGTGATATGTCATTCGATAAGGATGCTTCAACAAGAGTACCCTCTGCCAAGGCATCAAACGAGTCTGAAACATCTTGTGTGTGATCTGTAGCATTATCAGACTGGAGCTGCTGGGCGCCATGTTCAGCTTCATCAACTGCTGTTCCTGACAAGCTTGGCTGCACTACACCATTATTTTGATTATTGTCGGAGACCACAGTGTTATCATGGCCTGAACTTAACCCTGGATCTTCTGGAAGGTTTCTCAGAGTTACTTGAGCATTATCATCCACATCCATCTCCACAACTGTGGGACATGTTACACCACAATTTTCAGCAACACCCGACTCCATAGCTGCTGCAGATGTTACATGGGGATTGTTAGTCATGTCAGACTCCGTACCTGTCGGACATTTTACCAGAGGATTATCAGTATCATCAAACTCCATAACTGTCGGACACGTCTGGCTTCTGTCTTTATTAATGTTCAACAAGTTCAAATGGCTCATTTCAGAAGCCATTTTTCTTGTGCCATCAGCTGTGTGTCCTTTGCTAACACCACAAGCCCTGCTGCTAGTCTCTACTTGACAATGATCAGCCCCCTCAACCGACTGTGTCTTCACTGTATCCACAGCATCAGTGTTACATTCAAAGGACATCTCTTCATCAACCAAAACACTTTCACGTGCAGCAGATGTTAATGAAGGACTTCCAGATTCATACACCTCAGTCTGTTCACAAACATCCCCACTCACCACCTCAACAGACTCCGTCACATCAACTGCTCGACCCTGGTTTGACACAGATGTCTTTTTGAGATCAGAGGTCTGTTCTTGGTAGTGACCTCTGTCTTGTCCTTCTGAGCCCTCAACAGCAGAGGTCCCTGTGTCCGGGCCACAGAAGAGCTGAACTGGCTTCCCAGGAATCGCTATCAGAGACGATAAAATCTGAGGGGATTCCCCTGGTTTGGTACCAGGAATCACTCGAATGGACCCACGCAGGGAATTAAAATCGGTAGAAATACTTGTAGGGAGAGATAGTTGTGGGTTAGGAAATGTTGAGGATGGTGTCGATGGTGTTGATACTGAGGTACCTTGGGGCACTACCTTGAAGGGGATGAAGATGCCCTCTGGTGTGATGATAGGTTTGCCAACTGGCGTCTTTGGTGGGAAGTTATACGTCAGATGAGGGTAAGTGTCTTCTACACAGCGTCTGAAAGGGTGGTTCTGAATTTGTACATGCATGGTCGATTGTTATATTCAGTGTAATTTAAAAGGTTGGCATATTATGAATTTTCTCAAGAATTGTTTGCAATCATTAATGTATCAGGGAATTGACATAGGTTCAACTGAGCAACCAAGATTTATAACATTCGTTATTCGCCAAGGCCTTCATGGACTTGGCACACTTGTGGTGAGTCTCACAATGAAACATGTAGCCTAAACATCTTGTTTGTTTACTTTAAAATAGAGGCCTCTTTTTTGAACAACTTTGTTTATAAAATCATTGGTAAACACGATAATCAATTTAAAAAAATACTTCCTCAAAATGATCTAATGAAACAATTTTTTTCTCTTTATTGAAAATAGTATCCAGACAAGACAGAAGACATTTGCGATATTTTCTTTATCTGTAACCAAAGCAATTTGTAATCAAGCGCCTTACCTCTTTGCACCACTGTCTCCGTCCTCATTATCAGCGGGTGAAACTGGTGCTGAGCGGTGCTTCTTGCTGGGAGACCATGTGACATCCACCTGACAGACACAACACTCTCAGGTTACTTCCCTAACAACTGAGGAGAACGCCATGCCGTATTTTGGAGCACTGAATCATGGTAACATAGATGTAGCCACAAGGGCACATCCTTACAGACTTGTAAAAAGTATTATCTGAAACCATTTACCTCGAGTTGATTGTTTATGTCCGCTAAGTCCAATGGAGTACTCAGACTTGACGATCTCTTCCTCTCACTGCTCTTCTTCTCTTGCTTCTTCTTCTCCTTGACAGCAAGTGCTGTCTCTTTGGCCCGTTTTTTCTACAATACATAAGACTTCATCTTAAAGAGAGGCATCCAAGTGTCATAAATTCTTTTAATTTAAGGATGAAACAAAGGGAAAAAAATATTTTCTGTCCACTGTGAAAAAACACAGTTAACACGGTAAAATTCTACCATAAAAACAGTTTCATGACAGTAATCGTCATGGTAACATATTTTGTGTAACATAAAGGGTAAAACAGGTGTATATGTAAACACTTTAAGTTGACTTCGAAATAATAACAGGCTGTAGATAAGCCCAAACCTTGGCCCAGATAGGTAGAACACTGTCATCCTGGTCTTGTAAAGCCACCATTTGGTCTGGGGAGAAGGCTTCCACAACCAGCATCTTTGCCATCATGTTTTTATTTTGCCGGAAATACTGTAGGGAGAAAGAATATAAAACTACAAAAAACAAAGCACATGTGAAAATCTATATGAAGTGTCTGGCATCATATGCAATGACAATCATTTGTCCATGCGGGAATAAGCTCCTGCACAGCGTGTGACACCTTCGTTACACTCTTGGTAACATTGCTGCCACCAGTGTGGGCGTGGCCATTGCAGGAATCTTGAAATTTGCCCTCTTACCCCAAATGTATTAATGTTTATACTTTTGTTTATGTCTTTGGGAATGCCGTCATAGTGAATTTTGAAAAGTTTTACGACTGACCATGTTTTCCAGATGAATTTACTTTGTTGTTTGTATAATCAGATTGGTTCGAGATTGGAAAATCAACCAACTTCTCCCTTACATTCTTACTATATCAATAACATGATAGTTTTAATGAAATAGAAATTCAAATTGACAAACAAAGAAAGTAATTTAGCAGGGGTAAGTGTAATCGGCATCACGACCGTTGTCACTTGTTTGTAAACATAACGGTCATTCGGCTGCGAGTTCAACTCCAAGCATGGTTGGGGCCACCTATCACAGTGGGGAGTTTTGACTGGTGGCAGCGATAATATAGAGAGCTCCGCGAACGGGCTATCGCTGCGAGGAGCTTGGCGGGTAATGACAAGGGGAGACAACTCTACCTTGATTGGATTGTCTGGAGACCTCTGGCTGGACATATTCTTGATTCTGAGGTTGATCTGCTTGATGGTTTTGGCTGGTAGCAGGTACTTTTGAAGGAGACTGCGAGGGTTCTTCAGATGCTGGAACTGCTCGAGACCCAGGGCTATCAAGCTGGGGAGGCAGACAGATAATCTGATCAACCAATTTCAGTTTACACTGAATACAAGAATTGTAATTGATTGTGTTGATGCCCTTCATCCAGATTTAGAAACTGGTCTTACTCCTACTGACCAAAAGTAAATAAATCACTATGACTAGAAGGAAGAACTTAATCTTGAAGGTGTGTCCAATAATACACATTATTATAATGCCATCACTACATAGTCAAGAGAGTGAATGAAAGACTTGGGTTTAACATTGCTCTAGACAGTATACAGCATGTCACCTTAATGTGGTGAAACCATAGAGTTCCGATGAGATGCTGACAGACAAAGGGAACAAGGAGATCCTGGCACGGCAAAGGGAAGCAACTCTAACAATAGGTTAGGTTTCAACCATCAAAGTGCAAAACCATGGCCATCAAGTATTATACAAAGAAAACTTATGAACACAAATGCATACTTGTCCTCCCCGGTAGTGAAAGTAAGGCGGCTGTCTCTGGCTTCCTCCTGTGTCAATAACCGTCGACACGGCAGCAACTGTGGGTAGAGGAACACCGGACTGGACCAGAACACCTCAACCTGAGACGGCAGTAACGGGTGCTTTGTAGATGTGCTGCCTGGGAGGGACGAACAGAATGCCGGTTAAAGATTAGCAACAGGCCAGCAGGAATTACACAAAAGGAGCTGAGAGGTTTCATTGTTAATGATTTACCTTTCTTTCTGGCAATCTTCTTTCCACCATCCACTGAATCGTAGTCGGAGTCTGTTGTGTTGCTGTTGGTGTCTTCGACGGAGTAGGAGGAAGCATCTTCATTCTCCTGGCTGAGGTTCCATGAGTTATCTTCACCAACCACGTCTATAGCCAGCTGCAGGTTACACACGTTGTAGGACGACAGGTCACGCGCCATCGACACACATCGGAAGATATCCAGTTCCCTCTACAGTTTGAGTGAGTGAGTGTTATTTTATGAAGCAATAAGTAACATTACTGCTGTATCATGTTAGCCTCTAAATAATGAGTCTGGCAAACCTGTGGTTGATAGCATGAGCATAATCCAAGCATTGTGACCACCAACTAATGACTTTTAGTCAGCTTGTACTATGCTTACTGTACAGGGGGCCTATTCTGGCCATGACTCAGCACTTGGCCTGGTTTACTTGTTCTACTGAATCATTTATAGACAAAATGCCCAGAAATCTCACTGGTAAATCAGAGAAGTTTTCAAATATCACACATTTCCTACCTTACAATCTATATTAGGTAAATATAACAGACAAAATCTATCTTACATTAGCTGGTCTACTGTTTACTGGTACTTATCTAGTAGACCACCCAGGGGGTTACCTATACCTGCTCAGAGTGAGTGAGTGAGTTGGGTTTAACACCGCTTTTAACAGTATTCTAGTTATATTGCGGCGTGTCAGCTTAATGTGGGAGGAAAGCGATAGTGAAAGTTAAAGTGATACAGGTCTCAGACGTTTACCACTTCAGTGAAACCCACGAGCACGGGTATGGTGCTGACAAACCTAGAAACCTAGATAAATGGGGCGAACCGGGATTCGAACCCACAATCATAGGTTAAGGGACAAATCAAGACGCCTTAGACGACCGGGCCACCCGTGCCCCCGACCTGCTCAGAGGCCGATATTTGGCCCCAAGTCTGCAGCAAACGACAGTAAAAATTCAGAGTTTGAATTAAAATTTTCAGATGTAAAACATCCAATTTTGAACAAAACACGATTTTCCCCAATTTGCCTCTGGAATCCTACATTAATCCCTGCCTCCATATTGATCCCCTCTGCTCAGAGCCTCATTGCCAGGCAACTCCATGGTAGTGAAACATGCAACTAGTTCTCACCAGTAGCTGTCTGCACGTGCTGGTCAGGGGCTCGAAGTCCTCGCTCCCCTTACACAGGAAGAAGAGCTGTGTTGTCAGTTGGACATGCTGCAACAGAAATCTTTGTTACTCTTGGATATAACACTTCAACACTTACTGGCCGACCTAAAGTGCACAACATCACAACAAGGCAGTGGACATCGCTGTTAAAGTACTGTCAGGATTAAATACTAGCATAAGTCCCATATGTAGTGACATGTACCACTTCATTTAATTTCATCAAGTGACTCTTGACAAGTCAAAGATATCTGGTGAGGTGAAGTCGCTTTCAAGATTATTTCACTGATATAAGTTTTGCTGCAGTTAAACATGGATATCCCAGTAGGATACAGTATACTGAATCCAAGCCGACCAGTCCTTGTTTCATTCCCTGAATTCCAAGGGCCAGGCAGGGTAACAACAAGTACCATCTTTTAAGGTCTTTTGGTATGACACGACCGTGGATCCTCGGGCAAGTGAATTCTTTTCAAATTGTGCCTCTGTTCACCCAGCAGTGAATGCGTACCCGGTAGGACAAGATGGCAATGTGGTTGTTAACCTTCAAGCGCCTAACAGGCAGCTTGGGTTGTATACTCCCCATGGAGCTGAGAATGATTGTTGAGTGGCCACAGATCCATTGACCGGGGTAATAAAATATCTACACGTTTATGCATGGAGTACAGTGCCAAATAAATGGACTATTATTATTATTATTACAGTTGTGGACTGTCAGTTCTGTAAGTGGCAGGAGTACATGGAAAAGTGATTCTTTTCTCATAAACCATGTACTGACATTACAATTACATGGAGCAACTGAACAAACAAATCATTATTTTAGTTTGACCGTAACATACCTTTCGCATTTGTTCCTCGATGAGCAGTTTCTCCTCTGCAGTGATGATCAGAGCATTCTCCTCCAGTTCTGCCCGATGAACACTGGTCAGGGAAGCCTTAATAGGAGACTTTTTGGCCTTGACGATCGTCCTTCTGGAACAGACAACACCGATATCACCATACATACTAGTGGAAAATACAACCAAATTCCAAATACACATGGATTCATTACAGATGCATGCTATATTTGTGCAAAGCTTTGTTGGTTGGTTTGTTGATTAACGCCACACTCAGCAATATTCCAGCTGTATGACGACATTATGAAAAGACAATACAGTGATAGATATAATGAAGATAATCCTCCTCCTATACATGGTATAATATATCTACCAGGAGACGGTCAGTACATACTGTGGCAGTGGTTCCTTCAGGTACATAGACTTATCTCCCTCCTGTACATGGCATAATAGATCTACCAGGAGACGGTCAGTACATACTGTGGCAGTGGTCCCCCAGGTACATAGACTTATCTCCCTCCTGTACATGGCATAATAGATCTACCAGGAGACGGTCAGTACATACTGTGGCAGTGGTCCCCCAGGTACATAGACTTATCTCCCTCCTGTACATGGCATAATAGATCTACCAGGAGACGGTCAGTACATACTGTGGCAGTGGTCCCCCAGGTACATAGACTTATCTCCCTCCTGTACATGGCATAATAGATCTACCAGGAGACGGTCAGTACATACTGTGGCAGTGGTTCCTTCAGGTACATAGACTTATCCCCCTCCTATACATGGTATAATAGATCTACCAGGAGACGGTCAGTACATACTGTGACAGTGGTTCCTTCAGGTACATAGACTTATCTCCCTCCTATACATGGCATAATAGATCTACCAGGAGATGGTCAGTACATACTGTGACAGTGGTCCCCCAGGTACATAGACTTATCTCCCTCCTGTACATGGCATAATAGATCTACCAGGAGACGGTCAGTACATACTGTGGCAGTGGTCCCCCAGGTACAGAGACTTATCTCCCTCCTGTACATGGCATAATAGATCTACTAGGAGACGGTCAGTACATACTGTGGCAGTGGTCCCCCAGGTACATAGACTTATCTCCCTCCTGTACATGGCATAATAGATCTACTAGGAGACGGTCAGTACATACTGTGGCAGTGGTTCCTCCAGGGACATAGACTTATCTCCCTCCTATACATGGTATAATAGATCTACCAGGAGACGGTCAGTACATACTGTGGCAGTGGTTCCTCCAGGTACGTAGACTTATCTCCCTCCTATACATGGTATAACAGATCTACCAGGAGACGGTCAGTACATACTGTGGCAGTGGTTCCTCCAGGTACATAGACTTATCTCCCTCCTATACATGGTATAATAGATCTACCAGGAGACGGTCAGTACATACTGTGGCAGTGGTCCCCCAGGTACATAGACTTATCTCCCTCCTATACATGGCATAATAGATCTACTAGGAGACGGTCAGTACATACTGTGGCAGTGGTCCCCCAGGTACATAGACTTATCTCCCTCCTGTACATGGCATAATAGATCTACCAGGAGACGGTCAGTACATACTGTGGCAGTGGTCCCCCAGGTACATAGACTTATCTCCCTCCTGTACATGGCATAATAGATCTACCAGGAGACGGTCAGTACATACTGTGGCAGTGGTCCCCCAGGTACATAGACTTATCTCCCTCCTGAACATGGCATAATAGATCTACCAGGAGACAGTCAGTACATACTGTGGCAGTGGTCCCCCAGGTACATAGACTTATCCCCCTCCTATGCATGGTATAACAGATCTACCAGGAGACGGTCAGTACATACTATGACAGTGGTTCCTCCAGGTACGTAGACTTATCTCCCTCCTATACATGGCATAATAGATCTACCAGGAGACGGTCAGTACATACTATGACAGTGGTTCCTCCAGGTACGTAGACTTATCTCCCTCCTATACATGGTATAATAGATCTACCAGGAGACGGTCAGTACATACTATGACAGTGGTTCCTCCAGGTACATAGACTTATCTCCCTCCTATACATGGTATAATAGATCTACCAGGAGACGGTCAGTACATACTGTGGCAGTGGTTCCTTCAGGTACATAGACTTATCTCCCTCCTATACATGGCATAATAGATCTACCAGGAGATGGTCAGTACATACTGTGACAGTGGTCCCCCAGGTACATAGACTTATCTCCCTCCTGTACATGGCATAATAGATCTACCAGGAGACGGTCAGTACATACTGTGGCAGTGGTCCCCCAGGTCCATAGACTTATCTCCCTCCTGTACATGGAATAACAGATCTACCAGGAGACGGTCAGTACATACTGTGGCAGTGGTCCCCCAGGTCCATAGACTTATCTCCCTCCAGTACATGGAATAACAGATCTACCAGGAGACGGTCAGTACATACTGTGGCAGTGGTTCCTCCAGGTACGTAGACTTATCTCCCTCCTGTACATGGTATAATAGATCTACCAGGAGATGGTCAGTACATACTGTGACAGTGGTCCCCCAGGTACATAGACTTATCTCCCTCCTGTACATGGCATAATAGATCTACCAGGAGACGGTCAGTACATACTGTGGCAGTGGTCCCCCAGGTACATAGACTTATCTCCCTCCTGTACATGGCATAATAGATCTACCAGGAGACGGTTAGTACATACTGTGGCAGTGGTCCCCCAGGTACATAGACTTATCCTCCTCCTGTACATGGCATAATAGATCTACCAGGAGACGGTCAGTACATACTGTGGCAGTGGTCCCCCAGGTACGTAGACTTATCTCCCTCCTGTACATGGAATAACAGATCTACCAGGAGACGGTCAGTACATACTGTGGCAGTGGTCCCCCAGGTCCATAGACTTATCTCCCTCCTGTACATGGAATAACAGATCTACCAGGAGACGGTCAGTACATACTGTGGCAGTGGTTCCTCCAGGTACATAGACTTATCCTCTTCCTCCTGTTCGGGGAACAGTTCGTCCAGTTCATCGATCAGTTGGTTCAGTTCCTTCTCTGAAACAATTGGTGAGAATTAGGCGAACCAAGACTTACAGTCATCAACTGAGACATTAGAGACTGACCAACAGAATTGGAAAATTTATAACAAATTGTACATTTATATACATATCTATTTACCATACCTATCACACTATGCATTTCTTCCTTTTTCTTCGATCCTGGAGTGGAAATGTCTTTGAACAAAGTTTCCAGATTAAAAAAAAAACACTTCACCCCAACACATCACATATGTCACCATGGTCACCACCTAAACAATAGGTCATGCACCACTGCAATCCTGTGCAATACAACCCTTTGCATCCTGATCACCTGCCTCTTCATTTTCTTTCTAGAGCATACAGGCTGGTGTAACTGTGACATGGGGATGATTGGACGGATGTTAGCATGTCAGTGCTGAGGTGTTCTTTTACAAACACTCCCTTACCGGCCAGTAAGGTTCGACAAGAGAGACCTCGCACATATGCTCAGGGGACGTAAGGCTGATCTGCTTGGCATCACTTTTGATGATTCATCAAAGAAATCAATCATGAATGTGGGATTGAAGCATGCTAAGCCGAAAGAGGAAACGATCGACAACCGTAACAAGTCTTTAACCAACTACTGAAACATGACGTGCACTAGAATGAGGTGAGCAGGTAGAAGATTGGGACACCATTTGTACAAATGGCCGCACCTCTTGCATGGTGACGTGATTGCAGTGCATGACCCATTGTTTAGGTGGTGACCAGTGATGTACATGATGTAGGGTAGGGTTGGGGTGAAATGTTTTTTCACACCAGGATCGAAGAAGGAAGAAATGCATAGTGTGAGATAGGAAAAGTTTAAAAATTTATCTTATTACTTATGAGTTAGTGAAGGGGATTTCACACTTAAGTTAGTAGTATTAAATTTAAGTCACAGACACTTATCAGGCCATGGCGTAGTGCGCGAGATAATTTTACAACCATGAGTGACTGAGTAAGTTGGATTTTATGCCGCTTTTAGCAATATTCCAGTAATATCACAGCAGGGGACACCAGAAAAGGGCTTCCCACATTGTACCCATGGTAAACAGAAGTTTAAAACAATGTTTTGAAGAAAGTGTGTGAGAACAAAAGTATGGTAACAATTAATCATGAGGGCATAGTATTGTTCGGCCGTGTTTTTGATACAGTTGTAAATTGCAATCCGGATACATTTGACTTGTTTTCATCAGTACAATACACCATCTGTCTGAAGCAGTGATGGAGGATGTGAGAGCTGGGCTTAGCATCACCTTGAGCATCACCTTGAGCATCACCTTGAGCATCACCACAGCCTGGCACAGAGGGTAAAACAAAATCTCACACTAGAATTGAAATCAGCTCTTACTTGAAACCCTAAAAGGTCGGTCAAATCTGAAATCTTCATCCACTTCAACAATTTTTTCGGCTTCCTCCAAGAAATTGAATTCAGGATCATTTGCCTCATCATCAACTGGCTGATCAACAGGTTCCGCTGAAACATAAAATATGGTCAAATTTCAAGTCTCTTCATCTGAGGTGAACATGGTACATCAAATCAACCTTTCTGACCCAGACCTTCAGCAAGAAAATGAAAGACACTGTCTATGGTTAGAAATTAACCAAACAAGTCAACTAGCCCAAATGATGAAAATATAGCAATACCCCCAAAATGTTTGAAATTCTACTAGCCCTTAGGATACATTTAAACATTAACAAAACTGGTCCGGGTTAGTAGAATAGTGCTAATTTCTATCCCTGCTGTCTAGCCCATTGCTATAATTATCCTTTGCCAAAAAGTGAGGGAGTTAGGTTTAATACCACTATGAACAGTGTTCGAGTCACATCACTCTGTGCCGATTTAAGACAGCAAAGTGTCCCAAAGGCCACAGGGACACATGAGTTCTGGTATCTATGGTGGTGGCGTAATCATTGTGAATTTTGGATTCAAAACCAAGACCAGCAGATCCTGGCACAGCAAAGGAATGTAACTGAGGAATTGCCACTCGGTCCCAAAGCTTCTGAACCCCTTGTCAAATTAGAGTTTCTGTAAGTTAGTGATGAAATAAGGTTTCCCTTTCAACTCACAGTCTGGTTTGACGAGGGAGCGAAGGAACTCCTGCCACTCGGAGTCGTCACATTCCGTGTCGTACATATCTGGGGTGATGTCCGGCGCAACAAATGCTTCCTCTATGGCCGTCAGGGACGTGTCGGTCAGGGGCAGTTTGGATCTTGTTCTGCGAGCTATTATGTCTGAATGTGTACTCTGGAAACAAACAAAATTTGGAAATTTTAACTATAAATTGTATATTTGTATACTTATCCTGTCTCACACTGTGCATTTCTTCCTTCTATCGCGATCCTGGCATGGAAATGTCTCAAAACAAAGTTTTCAGCTTCAAAAGAACACCTCACCTCACCACATCCCACTCATCACCATGGTCGCTAACATAAACATCAGGACACTCACCACTGCAATCCCATGCAACCCGACCCAAAGCAATCTGGTCACCTGACATTCCCTACAGTTCTTCAAATTGAGACCAACTTGGTCAAATTTGTGACCTAAATTCATTTTGCGACCTGTATTTATTGCTTGGTTGCCAGTTGGCTCCCATTAATAAAATTAGTTTGGCCACTAAAATGTTTCACGTATTGAAAGAAACAGTTCAACATCGCTTGTCTCTATCGACATCATGACTTCCCTGTTTAGGGTGTAGTGTAACTCCTCACAGTGATACTGATGCCTATCTTGCTTCTGATGTTGGTGTCTGTAATGCTGCAAGTTTATGAATTTCTGGTCATGTGCACATTTCTCAGTTTACTTTTACAACTTTCAGCAATATTCCAGCTATATGATGGCGTCTGTAAATAATCGAGTCTGAGCCAGACAATCCAGTGATTGACATCATAACAATTGATCCACGGAATTGGGATATGATGACTTGCATCAACCATGTCAGTGAGCCTGACCACCCAATCCAATTAGTCGCCTCTTGCAACAAGCATATTCACCTAATACCACAAGCATGGGTTGCTGAAAACCTATTCTCAACCCGGATCTTCATGAAATAGAACAACAATAGAAGGTTTGCCTCGTAAGATAACAATATGATAACGTAGAACTTATCAACATTATCATAGCAAAATGTAAACATTCTTCTAAAGAACTCCATTCTTATTCCTATGAGCGAGAGAGGGAATTTGCTATCGCTGTTTTTAACATTTCAGTTATATCAGCTTGATGAGGGAGGACAGTCCAAAGTGACGCAGGTCTTTGATGTAACCACTCTGTTGAAGCCCACAAGCACCAAAAAACCTAAAACCATCATCAGGGCTCCTGCTAGTTTCCTGGTACATCTAAGGGACACAATTCTGCACAGGGCACTGCAGGGCTTACACATTTGGGAATCTGTCGGCCCTAAATCTTACAAAAGAAAAAATAGATCTCTGCATGCACTACCTGTTAATATGTTCAACAGCTGTGTGCTGGACAAACAAAAACATGACAGATGACTGCCATTTTAAACATAACATTTCATCATGATAACACTTTAGGGGTATGTGATACTGTGTACACTATCTCCAGTACCTCCTGTGTTGAAGTGTCTTCCAGGGCTGCCATGGAGTTCTTGAAATGCTGCCCAAGTGCCGATGTACGTTGTAAACTCACACCTGACGTACAAGCCATAGGACTCCGGAATGTCTGCAAGATGAACAAGCCCAGGAGTCTCATCAATGGTGGGTTAGAAATGTCTGCTAACCTTAGATGTAAAATTATGCACGAATTAACGTACTGTTTTCACCAAAAATATAGCCGTGCTCTGTAAACCACCAATGTGAGCTGTGTTGGATGTAGCGCATGTTTGTTTGGGTTTTGGGTCAACCAAGTAACCACTCAATCCATATAGGTCGCCTTGTACAACAAGCATAGGTTGCTAAACATGCTGAAGACCTATTCTAAATCCTGACCTCCACGGAATGTAACTCATCATCCTGACACCACCCCCATTCCTGACCCCCCCCACCTGCATATTTACCCCTGCAACCTTTGTCTCACTTTCATATGCTGACTTCACTCTGACCAGGAGCCAATAACTGAGCATCTTATCAAAGTGTCAAAAATAATCGTTAACATTTCTTCCTATCAACGATAATTCTGATTATCGATCTGTTCAGCCCTACTTATACACTACCCCTATATCGTATGTTCCTTGACATGCTTGCACAAAGCACAAACATGACTACTCATGCACATGATAAACAAGCACCTTGGCACATAATAAACAACGGCTTTGAAAACATGTTTAAGCCTGGTGAAAGTTAAACATGTTAAAAAAAGCAAAAAAACTCACAAAAAGGTAACACCATTTTCACTGCAATTTCAACAAGGGAGTTGATTTTTATCCCATTCGCGTCGTGACATACCTCGGAGTCCCTTGTCTGTGGGGTGTTGACCTGCAGGGGGGTCCTCACTGTGGGGGTGGAAGGGGTGGGGGGCATGGGGGATCCCAGATCACTTGCATGGGAAGATATCATACTCTCCATATCGTCGTCACTTTCATGCTGAGCCTAAAATAATTAGACAACAGATATTGCAAAATATGCTGATTCAGCAATCTGTTTGGTTGAAATTGTTTAAAAGAAGTCAGGAAATCTGCTGGGCTTTTCACGGCTTATGAATATGTATCTTTGTAAACTGTGATGGAAGCATATGATATCTGCTACTGCCTACATTCCAGAGTGACATCAAATACGTCACTCAGTTGTTTGAGGTGAGGTGAGGTGAAATGGGGTTTAATTTCGCGTCCAAGATTATTGCACTTATATAGCGACATTCATGCACGTACTAGTCCGGACTGATGCCGATTTATAGTGCTAGCCCACTGAGATATCATTCCGCAGTTTAACAAGAATACCTCACTCAGACACAGTATATAGACTCAGAGCCAACTAGTCCTTGTTTTAGCCCCTTACTGCAGAGTGCCAGACAGGGTAACAACAAGTACTATCTTTTAACGTCTTTGGTATGACGCGGCTGGGGATTGAAACCCCTGACCTTCTGCTCTACCACTAGACCACAGAGGCGGTAATTGATACAGCACACACAGACAGTTGAGTGTAAAGTTTCCCATAACTTCCAAAATAACAATGTTAAGTAGCAGTGTTGGCTGAAGAGCGCGTTTTTGCGTCTTGGACGCACAAAAATAAGTTTGAACGCACCTGCGTAACATGTGTGGGTCTCGTGGACGCAGTGACTGGGGCTTTATTAATTTCATATCGAATTGACACTGTTATCGTAAATCAAAGACGTACGTCTTTGCGTAAAGGTACAAACAAGACAGCGAAGCATGTTGATTAACACTTATGTTTGCTAAACCAAACCAGTTTCATTATTCTCTCCCTTTTTATGACAAATACCCAAACCGGTTTCTTGACCTATATCTATTGTCGGTTTTGCATGTATTAATTTTCGGTATGGTCCGTAGCTTTGCTTCAGCCAATCAGGTGCCACATAAGCAAGTCGGATATAGTCGTGATTAATTTAGCTTGCTGATTGGTCGAAAATATCCTGACCTTGTGTCAAACTAAAAATAGCCAGGCACATCAAGGGTATACTTCAGAACGTGGTAACAGTGACCCGCGAAATCGAGCGACCGTGTAGGATGATACGCTATGTTATCGCGGTAGTTAATTTATAATGGATCGTAGTGGGGCACGCTTACAAACTTATTAAATATGTGATTCACAAAATGTTTGTTGTTCATTGGATTGATTGATGCTGATTTTCTTTACCGAGTTCGGTAAACAAAGTACCTGTCATTGGTGAATCTTACCGCAGTAAGTAAGGCTGTGTGGATTGTATGGTATATCACTTCCTGTTTTGAATTTTGCATACGACCGAGGTTTGGTCAAGGGACTTCGTTTGAACAAATGGGTTCTTTTTCTAATCAATTTTGAATGGAGGAAGGGGTAATTCCACTTCAAAAACATCCCAGGAACTGTCATAAAAAAAGTTAACACGTGTACAAGTAGCCGTGACATACCGCAACGAGTCCTGTATTCGATCATGCGATGAAATATATCGTGCTTAGATTTGCATAAGTAAACAGTCGACAGGTTGTGTGGATTACGAGATTTGTCAATAACGCGATACTGTATATGATAAAGAATGAATGCGAACACTTGAATGTACAATGATGTAAGCATTGTTTTTATTTAGCGGACTCTGAATATTTAGTTATTCTACAACAGACTTATCAAGCTGATAATAATTCAATGTCTTGTGAGTCATATTCAGAATTGCAAAACACATTTTGCCAGGACCGTTATTGGTGTTACTGACATGTTTAAACATTTATAGCACCTGAAACATGTTGACTTGATTTATCAAGGAAATGCTGGATCCTGAACATACTCTTACTAAAAAAACGTTCGATATGCCAATTATATTTTATGACTCATTGATCATTGTCACAGTTACAACATGAACTCAATACTCAGTACAGTAGCATCAGAACAGCCATTGAACTTAACTGAATCCATAACTTCAAATCATTTGTAGATCTCGGTAAAAACATTCACAAATGTCTGTCACAATGACCCCTTACCAATGGCTGACCCGTGTACTGCCTTTTCATATACGAAGTTAGATATTAACATGGATAATTTTGTGTTATAATATTCATTAATATCAAATGTCCCTTTTAAGAAATTGTTTGTCCCTTAATGTAAACCTCTTGGTTATGAGAGCAGGATGTGCCCTGATGTGAACCTTTCTCTCACTTTGCCTGTTTGTTGATATTTTGCAGTTACGAAAAGATTTCTTATTTTTCACAACCACTGTATTCTGTTGTTAATGTTGTGTTATAATGCTATAAATTGGACCCCTCCATTTTTGTTTGGGACCCCTAATTTTATGATGAAGGGGTCCAAGTGACCCCAAGAAAATTTAAGCCAGAGCAGACACTGAAGTAGCATCCTCATTATCATGTGCTTCCAGACTTGCTGGTATTATTGATACTTGGATAACATTTGAAGCCTCAACATGAAGCCACTGCACTGGCCACAGAACCATTTCAGCTATTTGCAGCTATTTCAAAGATTTGTTTGGTTGTGGTTTAATGCCACACTCTTTAAATAATGGTCTGGACCAGACAATACAGTGATTGATAATATGAGCAATGAGCAATGAGCCATGCTATTGGGTACAGTGATCCTCTATCAAACAAGTTGCAGAGTCTGACCACCCGATCCATTTGGTCGCCTCTTACGAGTGAGTGAGTGAGTGAGTATGATTTTACGCCGCTTTTAGCAATATTCCAGCAATATCACGGCGAGGGACACCAGAAATGAGCTTCACACATTGTGCCCATGTCGGGAATCAAACCCGGGTCTTCGACGTGACGAACTAACGCTTTAACCACTGGGCTACCCGACCGCCCCCGCCTCTTATGACTGCTGCCAACCAATTCTAACCCGGCAGAAACAACTGTAGGGTTTGTACTAATCTCATAGACATGTAAGATAATATCCATAATAACAATGGTTCAGTGTTTCAAAATTTCAGCAACTTGACCTGAACAAGTACAAGAACAAAGTGTACACAATACATGCAATAGATAGACAGAGATCACCATGATCACAACTTGCACAATGATGAAAAAAATATTTTAGCAAAGGAAGAAATAGTAAGTCTCAAACAAATGGAAAAGTGTCATCAATGTAGTAATTATAGATGTAAAGGGAAATTTGTGACTTGTCCAAAGTTTGTGCTTAGAGTAAAAGCTCATAACCAAAGGGAGATAACTCAAGAACATATGGTCTCACATAAAACAGGAAGTACATACCTCAGCATCTTTATCTGGGGAGTACTCATCATCATCTTCATCATCAGGAAAGTATATATCCAGGATACTCGGCTTTTTGGCTGCTGTTGTCTTCTTCACTGGTGACAGCGGCCATTTTTCTAAGGGCTAAGAAGTAAAAAAAACACAATAAAAATGACGAATATCTGAAACCAATCTACATATATCCAGGCTAAGAAAATCCCTGTTTTTAAAATACTAGTCCTGAGGAATAGTGTAAACTTGATTTCACTAGTCCTCAGAGTTTGAACATGTTGAAGCCAGTCTTGCTTAAACAAGACACAAATATTTACTATGTTCACATATTGTGTCAGTTTTATCCAGTTCCAATTTATAACAAAACTGAAACAATGAGAACTAGTTCAGAACTGTCGTCATCAAATTATCCTAGTCAATGAGGATGACCATCAATCGATTTTACTTGTCCTCAGAACAATTTACAAATGATTTAGCTGGTGGACTAGTTTGAATTTCATATTGTCTACAGAGAGATGAGGAAGAGTACCTACCACCCCTTTCTCTATGACCTCCTTCACTTTAGCGCGGGTCATCTTGGGCTCGAAGGCGAGACGGCCGATGCTGGTCAGCTGTTCATTCAGACTGTTGCGAATCATCTGCTGGACATCCTCGTTCTTCACTAGCTCCTGGACAACATTCATACCAGACAAAAGGAATCAACAGAGTTTGTCAAATGTTTTGAAGGGATTGAGCTTTGTCGGAGAAGTATTGACCGGTGGAATATCTACCATGAATCTGATGAACACTAGCTACGTGAGTTAAGCACAGCTAAGTGCACACGACTAAGACAATCAGATTCACAACAATCCTGTGTAAGACTTGCACTTTTACAACATGTTAATAGGGTACTGACATTTGTACTGCAGATCAGTATGATATGTGATAATCAGTAGGACTAAGAACTCCTCAATCAGACAATACGCTGCCCTTTTATAAACCTGATAAAGCAGAAACCCTGATTTCGCACCGATAATCAATGTTTGTTTCTAGATTTGTCAGCAATATACCCATGCTCGTGGGTTTCACCAAAGTTGCAAACCCCTGAAATCTGCAACACTTCAGGCTTTCCTCACACATCAAGCTGACGCCCTGATATAACCATGGCAATGGAAATACAGTTCAAAGTACTCATGGACATAAACTAAAATAGGAAATACAATTGGGACAAAACATGGTGATAAAGACTATGCATCAACAAAACCTACATGAATGATATTCTTCACATTGATTGCAGTCAGGCCTTTGCTAATCGCACTCTTTTCCAACTTGTCATCCATTTCGGTATCAGCTATGTGCAATCTATCCTGGGAGGTGTCAGCATCATCAGCACTCAGGTAGTCAACACCAGCAACCCCAGTACCGCCAGCAACCCTGGAAGCAGCAGCAGCACACTTTCTTGGTGTTGATGGAGGTGTGGTTTCAAGTCTCTTCTTGATTGATTTTCTGAAAAGGAAAATATAATCTGTTGTTCTACTGAACCATGTGGACTGACCATGCTTACAAAAGCATGTGTACTTTACTTTTAGACCCATGAAGATCCCGGGTTGGAATAGGTCTTTAGCAACCCATGCTTGTCGTAAGAAGCGACTAACGGGATCGGGTGGTCAGACTCGCTGACTTGGTTGACGCATGTCATCATATCCCATTTGCGTAGATCGATGCTCATGATGTCAATCACTGGATTGTCTGATCCAGACTCGATTATTTACAGACCACCGTCATGTAGCTGGAATATTGCTGAGTGCAAGGTGGTCACAGGTTCTTCATCATGTTCATGAACGTTACTGATCTCAGACAAGCAGACTTATGTTAATTTCAAACCCTGGTTAAATGCATACAACTTCACGCCTTAAAAAGGGTGTTCTTGTATCATGTGTATGTTTTCATGATTTTCAAGTAAATCATTATAAATGCTTCAGATTAATTTCAACATTAGGCAAACAACTATTCCAAATACTTTAAAATGATATGGAGAAACATACCTGTTCTCTAGTTCTAAGCTGGCCATGATTAACTGTTTCCGAGGTGTCTTCTTCTGGTCTCCCTTGTGCTTAGATGGTGTGTCTTTCTTGTGCAGTTTCTTCTGTGAGCAATGCATGGCTGTATTCACTTCACTGCTCTCCTGATTCAAGATTGACAACTGTTCGCTTATAAAAGCATAGTTCTGCTTCTCCTCTTCACTCAAGGTGCTGGAGTTCTGAGCTGCCTTGTCCTTGACAGGTGTGCTTGCAAAACTCTGACCGCAAACAATCTGAACTGCAGATTCGTCCTCGTCTTCTGTTACTTCCTCCGATATATCGGTCCACTGGCTGTCATCAGTGTCAGCATCAGGGCTTCCGACCCCATCAGAACATGCTGAAGTCACATTGTCAGAACCACCTTCCATTACGTCTTTGACTCCCTTACTTCCTTTGCAATCAGTAACCTGTTCTTCACTCAAATCTGAGTTTTCTTTCGGATTCTCAGTAATATCTGTGTGTTCATCTTCAGTTGATACTGACTCTTGTTTAACACAGAGGTCATTGTTTGACGCATCAGCATCTTGTGTACTGTGATCCATCACATTGACTCAGATAGCTGGTGTATTCACACCAGTTATGACATGACAAGCATTCAGAATAATGTCAACTTCATACACTCCATGTTGGTATTAAGATCAAGAGCTGATGACAAACATGCGAGTTCTGTCTGGATCTCCCATAGTCCGAGGTACATGGTAGAATATATCACCTATCATTGGACACTTTCACCTTGTTGACTGGCTTCATTCTTTAGCTTGACAAGTACTGTGTATCTGAAACTGTCAACACAGGTAAAAGTTAAAGATCTGTATCTTAAAGTTACCCTATTCGACGTAAAAAGCACCCCGCTCTCATAAGCACCCCGCTCTCATAAGCACCCATGACAATATTTGCTAATAGATTGGCTAGTGAATAATCACAATAGCACCCCTTGCGATTGATCAATGTTCACAAGACTTATTTATTCGCGTATAATACGCACTCGTGTGTTATATGCACCTTAATTTATGGGCAATTAAATTCTGGAAAAATATATCTGTCGTATATAAACATTTCAGGCTGTCAGCATAAACCACAAAATTTATCTTTCAACTCTGTTTTTTTCACCAAAATAATATTCTAAAAAGAGCCTCTATTTCTAATTTTGAGAGCACCCTGGATGCTTATTACGTCGAATATGGTAGTTACATTTTGCAAAAGCGGTAGTGTGTGTCACGGTAGTGTGTTATTAACATCACTAGTGATATGTGGAATTTACATCATGATCATTGGTTTGTTTTCATTGTTGTTTAACGCTACACTCAGCAATATCTGAGTCATGTGATGGTGGTTTGTAAATGATCAAGTCTGGACCAGACAATCTGATGATCAATATTATAAGCAACAATCCACACTGTCTGGGTATGATGACATGCAATAAACCAAGTCACTGAGTCTGACCACCAGATCAATTTGATCGCCTTTTATGACCAGCATTGGCTGCTGAGGACCTATTCTAATCCGACAAAAACAATTGTAGGTTTTGTCCTAGACTAAGATATGTATATGATGTAACTTGTAAGATAATCCATAATAACCCAACAATATTGTTTCAATTATTTAAAAAGACATTGCACTTCTGATTAAGGCAGCATGCACACATGAATTTAATCTCATATCAACACATACCGCATCAGATACGAAGGACGAACTTCGCAAATGCAAATTACTGTATTTACATAATAAGCGCCCCGCACTCTTTCCACTCTGTTTTTTTCCTCACCTAATTTCTAATTTCTATTTCTAATTTTGAGAGCGCCCTGGGCACTTATTACGTCAAATATGGTAGTCTTTTGTCCTGATCATTACCTAGTGCATCATGGTGCATGAATTTTGTTTCCAGACCATGAGACAGCTGATTAAAATAAAATAAATTAAAAAAACATACATATGTTTTACATCCTTGAAAAGAAAAAGAATGGTTCACGAGATAGTGAGTGAGTGAGTGAGTTAAATTTTACATCGCATCGGCAATATTTCAGCCATATAGCGATGTGAACTAGGTTGAACAAGTTAGGCATTTATATTATATATTAAAAGCTGTCATCGAAGGACAGTACAACAACCAGCAATATATCACAGATTATAATTTTAAAACTAGTTTTAGAGCAATAAAATAATCAGATACAATACAAACGATACAATATAAAAACGGGCTGTAGATCGCCAGCAACCAAAGTTAGGCCACCATACTAGGGACAATGGGGACTTACGGTACTTCTGCTACCTACATGGTACCCCAGCAGGATTTACACCATCCCTCTGGCCACTGGCGATTATCAGACAGATTAGCCAAAGAGTTAAAATCAACAAAAATACTACGATTAAAAGCACAGAGAAAGGAAATTATACGTTGAATGATACTGGTTCACGAGATAGAATCCCAAGTCAGAATGTTACATCCCTTCACGTAGCATTATATATATTATGTGTACTTCAGACGGCAAGCCAATTAAATTTATAAAGTTTTATATACTATTAACAGTAAATACCAGAACCCTGTTTCAGAATAGAACATCGGAATGGCAATGACTTAATTAACATACATGTCATCCCCAGCAGTAGATTATCATCTAACAGCAGCCCCGGGTGGTAATTAGGCCGTAGTAGGACTGCTATCTAATCATCATGTTCATAGTAAACTGAAATCCACTCATGTTCATCGAACAGTGAAGATCCGGGTAGGGAATAGGTCTTTAGCAACCCATGATATTGCTGTAAAAGGCAACTAAAAGGATTGGGTGGTCAGGCCCGCTGACTTGGTTGATGCATGTCATCGTATCCCAATTGCGTGGATTGATGCTCATGTCAATCACTGGATTGTCTGGTCCAGACTCGATTATCGATTATAGCTGGAATATTGCTGAGTGCGGCGTTTAACAACAAACATGACAAACAAAACAAAGAAACAATATCATGTTCATCATGTTCATACCACATTCCCACTCACAGCATGAATAGGATCAATAGCAAAAGCACATATTTCTTCATGTATTGCATGAATTTACGCTGTAACTGGGACGAGAAATGTTAAGACCGAGTAGATCCTGGAATAATCATAGTATTAAATGAGAAATGGTCAAGAACCACTGAGAACATTGGAAGATCTGGTTTGAACATTTTAATCATCACTCAGTTCACTGATCATATATTTGACATAAACATGACAAAAGAATATCAGATTCGTATCGAAACAACAATGTTTCTGTTGTGTTGATGATTGTTTAATTTATGCAACACATCAAAAAAAATATAAATGAAATGCGAATCTAAAGACCCCCGGTGTATTTTACTAATTCAGATATATTTCTGCGTCACTGTCAGTGTCAGGCAAAAATAGTGTAAACATTAAAAAAAAACATCAATCACCATCGGTGTTTGACGATTTATCTCCTTTGAACAATCTTCAGCGATGTAACCCAGTTTCTTCGGATAAACACATACTTTGCAAATGATTGCGGTTAATACAATTTAATACCTTACTACTTCGTCTGTGAGAAGCATTCACATTTCTGCATGCAAACCCGCGCCATTTTAGTCGCTGATCAAAACTTCCGGTGGGTATGTACCAAAATATTAACCATGAGTGATTGGTGAAAAGAAACGGATTTAAAAAAAAACGTTCCTGTGTACATTTGTATATTATCTGCTGATATCAAGGCAGGATATTTTCTTGAAGACTGGGTATATCATCGTTAAATCAGTTAGCATACGAATGGCATAAATATGAATAGTAAGTATGTTAAACATTTTGAAGCGTACATAAAATACAGAGACACATACTATTGTCGTGCATGGTCGTTCTAATTTTACGAACGAGCGTAACGTGAAGTTATTTACTCACTCGGTTCCAGCGAGTGAGTGGGTTCGATTAAGGAAATACTTAAAGGATGCAGATCCTGACACTGGAAAGATTTTGTTTCTTTTTTTCATGGGTCTTTAGTTAATCATGGCCACGGGATAATTCGTCAGTATCTACACTGCCTCATGGATGAAATAAAATGGGAGGACATGTGCACCTCACTCCTTCGGGCTAACGGGGAGAAGGTGCTCGATACTTCATGTTTATGTTGTAATTTATTTTTTTTAAAACAGTGTTCTAAGTTTACACTGGTGGTACTTCATTTAGAACCAAAATGTCCATCTCCTTTTTGGGAAGTAATTCTCATATCGATGTTATAACTGGGGTTGTTGTTTTTTTAGGGGAAGGTAATGACGACAGACTATAAAACATGGTCAACGCTTTGTAGGGGAAGATGCTGTGAGGGGAAGGCGTCCTGGTTAAAAGATCCATCTCTCTGTCCTGAGATATATTTTCAACAAGTGAAAAAAACCTGAAAAAGACCAAACAAAGAAAAGTGAAGTGGTCAACTCGAGGACAACCTACATTTGAAATAAAATCTGTGATACATTCTGTTGTTAAGAGGATCGAGAGTGAGTTGAAAAAATGTAATAAGACGGACGAAATCACCTTTGAGGCACCATGGAGAAGAAGGTACCATATTCTGCGGGAGGGGATTATTTTCGAGAATAGACGCCATGCTCACACACAAGAAAACTGTTTCTCTACCAGCACAGGTAGGGCCGTCAGAAACAACGAAACCGGCACCATCCAAAATAGCAGGGACTTTTTACTGAGGCCCTGTGCTACTCAAGTCACCATGGAGTCCACATCTTGTCCAGAATGTAGGAGACACTTTTCTAGATATGATAAGATGCAGAGACACAGAAAACAGACAATCCCTCCTCTACGTCACGTCTTTCTTCCTCCTCATATTCACGCCCCTTCATCCCCTCACGTCCTTTCTCTTCTATCCACGCCCCTTCTCCCCCTCACGTCCCTCCTCTCCTTCACGCCCCTTCTCCTCTTCACGCCCCTCCTCTCCTGCACGCCCCTTCTCCCCCTCACGTCCTTTCTCCTCCTATTCACGTCCCTTCTCCTCCTCACGCCCCTTCTCCTCTTCACGTCCCTCCTCCTATTCACGCCCCTTCTCCCCTTCACGCCCCTTCTCCACCCCACCCCCTCCTCCCCTTTACGCTCATCTTCCTCTTAACCCCTTCTCCTCCTCACGCCCCCTTCACGTCACTTCTCCTCCTCACGCCCCTTCTCCCCTCTTCTCCTCCCCACGTCCATCTTCCTCTTTACGCCCCTTCTCTTCACGCCCTTCTTCCTCTTCACGCCCCTTCTTTTCACATCCATCTTCCTCTTCACACCCCTTCTCCTCTTCGCGACCCTTTTTCCCTTCACGCCCCTTCTCCTCCTCACACCCCTACTCCCCTTCACGTCCATCACCCTCTTAACGCCCCTTTTCCTCTTCACGGTCCTTCTCCCCTTCACGTCCACCTTCCTCTTCATGCTCTTCCTCCTCTTCTCGCCCCTCCTTCTCTTCACGCCCTTCTCCTCATCACGCCCCTCCTTCCCTTCACGTCCATATTCCTCTTAACGCCCCTTCTCCTCTTCACGCCCCTCCTCCCCTTCACGCCCCTCCTTCTCTACACGCCCTTCTTCCTCTTCACGCCCCTCCTCCTCTTCACGCCCCTTCTCCACTTCCACAACAGTAAAATAACCAGAGAATAATAACCACCATACTAGGGACCGTAGGGACTTACAATACTTTTGCTTTCTGCACGGTATCCAGCAGGATTTATACCATCTCTTACAAATATACTACGATTAAAAATGGAGTAGACTGAAATGTACTTTGAAGGATGTGGAACTTACGCACACTCCCAGGGGGACAATACTTTTACAGTACTTTAACCCCCCCCAAGAACACAGCCACTAACAATCTCAGTTGCAAATTTAATCTTCCTATTTTAAAACGACGTTTAGATTTTATACAAAACATGTTAATAATTTTTTTCAAGAAATTCAACTTCCTGTAAAAAAAACCCAGTAATTAAATGAGAACTAATACTATTAAAAAGCTACCTGATAGATGATGATTTGAAATATGTATCCCTTGTGATGGCAAAAATCAATACAGTCAAGCAGGACATACCTAAATGTAACTCTCTTATGACAAGGGATGTAAAATAGAGGATCCTCACCTTTCGACAAATGTTCATGTGTATATCTGCTATGGCCAATACGACTATCGTATCATGACCTCTTCAAATCTGGACTGACAACCCAAGCAGGTGTAACCGATATTTGGTTTTATTTCATCTAAATTATTTATACCCACTTTGGTGTCCCACTTCTTTTGCATAAGATATCTGATGTCACATCTTATGACACTAAATTGGATTAGAAGTGGTATCTTCCCGAGGCAAGAGAGTTAACTGACTGTAAACGTCCAGTTTCAACCCTTGCCGAACTAGGCCTGAATTTCTGGATTCGATTGTAGCGCCACCAGTGGTTATTACGAATTATGTCCCTTCTTTGTCCATCCTATTGGCCAATCAGAGTCCACATCTGATTTCACTTGTGTTTGCTTCAGTCAAGACGATCTGTTCGATAATCAAGGTCTATATTGTAAGTAAACGGGTCTTCCTTCGCGAAGTGCATCAAATCACGTGAGCACAATGATTAAAACATGAAACGATTTGGAAATTTTCTGTTGACGATAAGTTGACGGTACACATGCATGGCAAATCCTGAACTCGATCGAAATCTCTACGGCATCTTACGAACCGGGTGTTGATTTCGTTACGCGATTTTCATTGGACTATGCATAGAGTCATTAGTCCAGCCAAAATAGTACTCAATAATTCCAGCCTAGTTCTGCAAGGGTGGAAACTGGAAGTTTATAGTCAGTTAACGCCCTTGCCTCGGAAAGATGAACAATTTGTGTCACATATCTGTTGAGTGCTGTTTAAGCAGCAGCAGCCATTGTGTTACCAGTGATGCTAACATGGCTTGGTAACCAACAAAAGATGATGTCGTATTGGCCAGTAGCAAGTTCATTTTGTAATTTAACAATTTCGATTAAAAGTTTATGCTAACATGCCATGTTATGAATAGCCTGTAGGCACAAAAGAGAATCTGAAAATATTATAAGCTTCTAATATTTTGTATGTTTACTGACATACTTTAGAGCTGTTAAAATTGAATTTTCCCATGCTGTGAAAATAGAACAGTTATCAGGTAATGTGGATGATATAGTCCTGGATCCAATGACAGTGGCGATGCAACAGCGTCACCATCCTTGGATCCATCTGGAAATATAAAATTCGTAAGTATCATGTGTTTCTTAATTCATTTTATTGTTGTTGATAAATTAGTTGGCTAAAGCGCTCGGTTCCAAATTATAATAAAGAGGTATCTATTCTAAAGTGGGAGTACATCAAATTTCAAAACACAGTAGGTTTATCTCCTAAATGACATATTGCAAGGCTATTTTTATGCGACGTTGCTTCTGGGATGGCTAATCAGCTTCCACATATAGGCACTTGACGGGAGAAGTTCTGAAGGCACCAAGACAAAACCCCATTCCTTGATGATGAATAGTATCCAATAATATTCAATTTCTTTTACAGGTTCCACCATAGACGATGGAGCCATCATCTTGTTTAGAGCGAATAAGTGATCGGGTTTTCTGATCCCCAACCCACTTTGAATTCGACACGACTTTCAGAAAATCAAGGGCCTTTGGGCATCTATTTTTTAAAAGGTAAAATGGCTGTCAAACATTAGACCCAAGAACTTTGCCTCGTTGACAACCTTAATAGGACTGCTATTCAAAACTAGTTCTGGATCTCATTGAGGTCTGTATTTTCTACAAAAGTGAATAAAATTTGTTATAGATTTGAAAATTTAAAACCGTTTTCTAAAGACCATTTATGTATTTTATTTAGACACAATTGTCTTTCGATAGTACCATATTTCTGACTATATCGTCACTATGTGGCCCGTTATGCACATGCCAGGAATAATTCTGTTATTTTTACCAATAATACCCTTCATTCTACACCAAATGGACTTACATGGGGTAAACCTATTCAATGTCGAGATGAAGGACCGCCCGCTTGAACGCTTGGTAGCAGTCCTAACACGAGTTGACTGTTGTGAGCTCATTTCCTTGTCCTGTAGGCTTTTCACATTCCTTGTTCCTTCAGGGTTTGGAGTCTAAGGCTGGATGTTAATATAAGGGTAACGCTATTTTTCAGGGCATTATCATTTGCAGAAGCCCGAGGTTTTTCATTAACTGCCCGACGAAGGAGGGCAGTTGAAAAGACCGAGGGCTTCTGCAAATGATAATGCCCTGAAAAAGAGCGTTACCGTTATTATCGCTAAAATGGATGGAATTTGTTATCAAATAAAAAGAAACAACAATATCGGTTTTGAAAAATTTACTGCAATCAACACGAATGTCACTGACCACATTTTACAAATATGGAAACATCATAGAACAAACCAGATGACGTCACTATAATGCGTGACGTCATTTTCTCAACCCTATGACGTCACCTAACAACGGGCGTGATAATGGCCCGTCGTCAAGTAATATGAGGGCATTATCAAGTTACAGTGGCCCGCTC